GACGAATTGGACAAAATTATTTTTTTTCATCCGCCCCGCCCTTTGGGCGATCGCTTAATCCGCCCCCGAGTTAGAGTCCAATATGCGCAAATATCGAAAGGCACCAAAATCTTTGGGTTATAACCATATATATAGTTTTTACATAAATCGGATAACAAATATGACCTCTAGTGTCCATAAGCTAACGAATAATTTTTCATACAATCAGGGGCCATAATCCATAAATGTACATGCCAATATCGAAAGGAATCAAGATCTTTGGGATAATCCTATAATTCCAATCTGATTAAAATACAGATCTATATTTCGTTTCTTTATACTTTCGATGGCCTAAACTACATGAAGATCTGACCAGTTGTAAAGGAAGATTGTGTCAGTGTCATACGCGCAGCTATTGACCTTATGACGTCAGACATTGATTAATCCATCAGTGTTGACGTTTCTAGTGGTTTACCCAAAGTTCCGTGCACCTCGCTGTAACAGACCATTGCATTGACTAATGTCCCATGTCATCCAAAATACAGATGATATAACCCTTCTAGATCCTAGTGTAGTAAAAGCAAGTAAAACGAAATTTTGAACTAAAAAAACAAAACGAAATAGATCTGTGTTTTAATCAGATTGGTCAAAATCGGATAATAATTGTGACCTATAGAGTGTGTCCACAAACAAATTGTAAACGGACAGACAGGGGCGACAGCACATATCCACATGAAAATATGGGTGGATACAAATTGTCATGCAAAAGGGAAGTAACTGAGGTGATTATTTAGTGGTCTGGATCCATACAATGAAGTTTGTTACAAAACAGAAATAGTACACTATAAACTGACAAATTTCATAAAAATGTTATAAATGGAGTTAGGTGGGTAGAGATAACAATATGTGTCGGGGGACCTAGAACAAACTGCAACAGAAATCATTTCTTTGGGAACCGTTCAGGTATGGCCTCTAGTACTCCCATAACAAAAGCGGCCGTTATCGGTCTTGGGGAAATTTGAATAATTAACATAATTGCAAGATGGCCGCCAGTGGACCAGAAAATCGACGAAATCTCTGAAACCGTGTACTTTAGTGCAAATAAATGTAATACCGACCTATAGGAAATCGATACTCGCGAGTTAAAAGATGCTGCCATTTTATCCCTACGACCTTACCGTAACCAAAGCCATATATAGGGAAAGTTAAGACAACTCATTTCCAGGCGCCATTTTGGGTCCCAACTATGACGCCACAAAAACCATGACGTACCATGGCGTCTTACAGCTTTATATACTTCTTGCAGTATTATTATGTTGGGTGGGATAGCGTTTTACCTTAAACAAATTGCAAAAGAAACCAATGCAGTTTAGTTCAATGATAAATATGTCAGACAAAATGACGTAATCAACATAATTGAATATGGCGGTCTTCAGGAATTTTCGAAGAGCCATATCTCGTAATAAGTGTGTTTTAGTAGTGGGAGGATAAATAATTTATTTTTAAATTCCTCAAACACAGAGGGATTATGCGAGCGAAATGTGCCTAAAAATTAAATTTGACAAACATCAATTAAAAAAATGTATTTTTGATATGGCGCCGGGCATTTCTTTCAAAATGCCTGCCAAATTTGGTAATATAATGGAATTTAAAAAAAAAAACCCATAAATATGGTAATCAAAGGGTAGCGATAGTCTCGTAAGATATGACTTTTGCTGTCTTTCATATGGTTATCGGTCTCCGACAGCTGATATTAATTTAATCGTCATTTTTACCTGTTGGATATTACTTGTAACATGTCATTTACACGGTTCTCGATGTCGCCGGGTTCAATACTGATCTCAAAATGAATCCATGATGGCAGAAATTCAAAATGTCCGGCTAAATTTAGTCCAAAGTCGCAGAATTTGGTAATATATCTTATATATGTGTTTTGGAGTTGTTGGGATCAACTCTGATCTCAAAAATAAATTCCGAGTATTCTTGATGGTAGAAATTCAAAATGGCCGGCAAAATGAAATCTAAATAGATGGAATTTGAATTAACTGTCATTTTTTTCCGTTGAATATGGCTTGGTATATGTCTTATATATGGGTTTGGTGATTGTTTGGTTCAATCTCTATCTAAAAAAACTAATTAAGAATGGTCCAGATGGTGTAAAACTGAAACCAAAATAAGGATTTTTAGGGTTACTGAATTCAATGTTGGGTTCAAAACTTACTTCAAATAGGATTGCCACACACCAAATTTGTGAATAAGTTAGAAACATCAGGACAAATTACAGAAAACCTTTTATTATGGTCATTTTTATAAAAGCAAGGAGAGTACCTCACCGGACCTCCAATAGAGTGTGAATCCCTCGCGAGGCCAAAGTCAGGGACCCTTGGTCCCCTAGTGTCCCTTGCTTGTGATAAAATGTACTACTGTGGTAATTACAAGTGTCTGTCGTGAATTGAATAACTATCGGCCTTGATATTACAAGGGACGGACCGGGAGTCGAGTTTCTCTAACCCCCCCCCCCCCCCCCGAGTTGGTGTAGAAAATTCTAGGTATATTAAACTGTTCGCAATAGGAGGTATTTCTTGCTATGTCTTGTTTGGAGTATAGGACGGGATTTATTGTTTTGATTATAATCACAATAAATTATACCCCTCCCCTACTGAGAATTGTAATTAAAGAATGTTATGATATCGTAGTTTATATTATGTGCAATCGTGTGACACCTTAATTTAATTACTATGATTATTTCTACAAAGATCCAACTATAGTCTTTAATTGCGCATTGTTAACCAGCCATTGGAGTTTTAATGCCAATAAATCATATAGTTTATACAGCTCGACGTAAGACTTAAAAAATATATAGACACAGTTGGTTTAACTTGAATGTAGATATTAATCATCTATATTGCATGTATATGCCTGTACAGCGCTTAGAAATAACAATTGCTATAATGTAGCGCTTTAGAAATAAAACTATAATATACTCTTCAAAAAAGTAGGGGATATTCAGAAACAATACAAAACTGCGGAAATGCACTGCTGTTTTTATTAGAGGTAACCAGTGTATGATAATAACAGGCCAATTGCCTACACATGAACATAAACATTTCATATGGGCGGCTTATCTGACGGCCCCATTTCACTCGCAAAGAGATACACTGTCAAAAGTGAAAATGGAAGTTTTTGATTTTTGTCTTAATAATGAGTAATTGCTCCACCAATCCCCAAACATCCAGCAATTCGTTGTGGCATGCTCCTAATCAACCGTCCAATCACGATTTGGGGCAATCTGACCAACTCCTCTTGCAGTGCCACGGCCAATTCTTGCAGTGTTATCGGTTGACGTTGACGTCGACGAACACGTCTCCCGATCAAATTAAACGTAACACACTAAAGCAATGATACACTTCACAGTAAATCTTATGCAAGAACCGATAGGAAAGCAAACATGGATAGGATAAACTAGCACACGGCAGTTTTCATCAACCCTTCCTTGAAGTGTTAAATTTGACAATAAACCCCTTCCGCGTGTATGGCGCTATTGCGTGTATCAGTCGCGTGTGCAGCTCAGTGGTTCTATTGGGGCGATAAGTTCTTCATCTGTCAACATATCCCCAAAGCAAGTCAAGTGTCCATGACTATCATATCACAACCTGCAGTTGAATCATGTTATGTTCATATTGTCTTACGTATTTGCCAACGTTAAGGTGCGCTTGTTCTATTGTTCCATTAGCCTATTCAGATTTGCTCAAAAGAACTTAGTGCTAAAATGGCATTTTTCCAATAAGACCAGCGATAATTTCGTAAGATTTGACTTTAACTATGTCCCTGTTTTCATATTCTAAGTAGGTAGACTATTCTTATCGGCTTTTATTAGATGGCTATAGATGAAAAGAAATGGGGTTTAACATCCTACTGTTCTGTTCCGACTGGGATAATGAAGACTGGCATACGCCAGTGCACTACGGCACACTCTTATATCGAATTCCAACTGGCAAGGGAACCTTAACGGCTTTTCGTACCATCCGAAGGACTATACGTTGTCCCTTGCCTGGTCTTCTGTCCTGCACCACTGACAAGGGGTACAACGCCGTAAAATCCCAATGAACTTTCTCGGCCAACGCAGGGATCAAACACTGAACCTCCAGGTAAGCAAGCCACCGTGTCCCCCAGCTATAGATGAACGATGATGTAGAGTTTCAGTTTGATGAGTTTTACAGCGGTTCCACACTGATCAGCAGTGAATAAGGATGACATCGATGCGACTTAATGAGCCCCAAATATTTACTTTTTTACTCCGACAAATTAAATTCTAAAACATTTTTTTTACTCCAAATTAAATTCTTAAACATTTAAGTATTAGAAAAATAAATAACAACGTTTGAAGTATTTGTAGGTAAATATTATTTCCCATTTAGTGTAAATGGGTATAAAAATGAGTAAAGGGCAGCATTCTGCCCAAAGCAGTAACGTCTTATGTAAACATTGCACGCCCCATTGAGCCAATGATTGACGTCACGTGACGTCATGTGTTGAAGGCAGTCATCTTGATTCTTTTACAGAGATATTAGAAGACTTTCGTTATCCTCTGTGAAACAGATTGCAGCGGTTCATGATTTCCAACAGTTTTCCGAGCGTAGTTACAATACAATTGATAATGACGTCACAATGAGAACGACGTAATGCCATCAAAATGACATTACGACGTCATAAGATCGTAGGTTATGTCGGCATTTTTTAACTCGCGAGTATCGATATCCTATAGGTCGTTAATACATTTATTTACACTAAAGTCAACCGATTCGGAGATTTTGGCGATTTTCTGGTCCACTGGCGGCCATCTTGGATTTATGTTGCTTATGCAAATTTCCCCAAGACCGATAATGGCCGCTTTTGTTATGGAAGTCCTAGAGACCATACCTGAAAGGTTCCCAAAGAAATGATTTCTGTTGCAGTTTGTTCTAGGTGTATTGTTATCTATACCCGCCCCGCCTAAGTGGGTAAATAAAAAGAACAGTCAATGATTTTTTTTCTTTTATTTTTCTATTATTTTTTTTTAAATTTTAGACTTCTTTAGCCACTGGTGGTTCATAGCCGTCGGGTCTATCAACTTTCTCACCGCTTTCTTCAACAACAACTGGAGCAGCAGCTTTAGGAGCATTACTTTCTCCATGCATCTCCAATAACTTAGCAACTAAAAGATAAATATAACACAATTAGTGCCGATAAAGTAAAATTTTATGCATCATTGCTAGTGTCTACCTTCTTTATATTCAATATTATTTATCCTTTTTTTTTGAAGGAAATCCTTGATATTTTTTATTTACATGTATCAAACAAACTAATGCTAAATTTTCAATTCATAACATTTGAAAAGTGTTGTGAATTGTGTTTTGTGGAAAATATTAAAGGACACCGGAGGACCCAGAGAAAACTCATGAGGTTGGATAGGCGACCCTACTCCTTGCCACGTACAACCGGGGATTCGAAACCACGCCAGTTGACTCAATGACAGACTTTATGGTACAGCGCGCACATGCTAACCATTCAGCCACCCAACCCCCCTGGGACTGTAAGAGGATACTTGACAATTCAATAAAGTAATTGAATGTCATTAGATAGGAGAACACGAGAAAAATAGAAATAGTCTGTACATTCCCTTGTTTATATTCATTCTATACCTTATAAAAACATGGTAATGCACAGACTTTTTCTGTTTTTCTTTCGTGTTCACTTATCTAGTGGCAGTCAATTCTTTTATGAATTGTCAGATGTTTAAATGTTCTGACTAAATCATGCTAAAATGTGTTGAAAAAATATTCTATACCTCGTCTACCGCGGATGGTGAATGTTCTAATTTTCGATTCATCATATATTTAAGTACTGAACAAAATTGAACCATTTTTTGATGGATATTAAACTTTCCGAATATAGCAGTTTGCAAGGAATTAACATTCTTCAAATGATGATTATAATATATACTTACAGTCTAATTTGGGTTTTTTAAGGATTTTAACCTTTCTGATGTAGACTTCATGAATAGGGAAGATACCCTGACAGGCTTTTTCTATATCTTTACCTATAGAATCAGGAATCCTGAAAATATATAAATTTTACATGAAAGCTCAGATAGAACTTCTGCTTAAATATTGTTTAAGGAAACGTTTTTGAAAATAAAAAATATATTGAGCGCCATGGAAAATGCATCACTTTTTTTCCCAAATATTTTATTACCAGGTGGTTTTGTATGTATAATATTATGCAATACTATGAACTATTGTTTCACACAATGCTCCCAAACGCAAAAAATATTGGCCCGTGTGCACAAAAAAAAAATCACGAGATGCACATGAAAAACCCAATATTCACGTGTAGCATTGTGTGTGAGCCCTTTAAAAGCATGTTTTCAAATTAATGTGCAGTACATGAACTGTGAGACGTCAATCTGTTGTAATTTGTTGTTGGACGTTTGAAGGAATCAAGCTAGAGATGCCGAGACTTACTGAAAATCAACAGAATGAAGTCATGGGAATGTCCAGGGCTGGCATATCTACACGTGCTATTGCCAGACACTTCAATTGTCATCAGTCCACTATTGTAAGGTTGGTGGAACGTGTTTGAGTTACTGGATTAACACGTGACCGTCAACGTCCTGGTCCACAACGTGTTACAACCCAGGCTCAAGACCGCTACATCCGGGTCACTCATCTGCGTGACAGATTCCGCCCAGCGACTCAAACAGGTGCAGCAGTCGTCGGAAGACAAGGACCAGTAAGTGGCAACACCGTAAGACGTCTAAGAAAAGTAGGACTCCATGCACGATGACCTGATGTTGGAGCTATCCTCAGGAATCATCACCGTCAGCGGCATTTGATATGGGCTCAAGGACACCAGACATGGAGAAGAGTAGACTGGAAAAGTGTGCTCTTCAGTGGTGAGAGTCGCTTTCATCTTTATCACGCTGATGGCCGTCAATGTGTGTGGAGACGTTTTGGGGAACGTTTTTCAGACTGCTGCGTCTTCGAAACGAATCAATGGGGTGGGGGAAGTGTAATGGTGTGGGGAGGCTACCGCCCTATACATTTTCAGGGGTCGCGTTAATGCTGTAGCCTACCGTGATGATGTCTTGCAACCAATTGTTGTTCCGATGTTTCGAGCGCACCCACAACTTCAGCACTTCCAACAGGATAATGCACCTCTGGGATGAGATTGGACGCCATCTGTATCGGAGACCACAGATGCACACCATTGCTGCTTTAGAAGCTGCTCTTGTCCAAGAATGGAATAATTTGCCCCAGGCCTTCTTTCAAACATTGGTAAATTTCATGCGACGTCGCTGCACAGCGTGCGTAAGAGCCCGTGGAGGACACACGCGCTACTGACATCTGTGTCATACTTTTGGTTTTGACCCCTCCGACTTTGTACTGTTGATTACAGACTAAACATCCATAAGTGTACAAATGTGTTGTTATTGATGTGTTCCCAGTTGAATATTGTTCACAATATGAAGCAAAATAAATAAGATATGTTTACAGGATCATTTTGTTATACGAAAAACTAAGTGATGCGTTTTCCATGGTGCTCAGAATAGAATCTTTTTATAGGCACCATAGAAATATTTGTTGGCAAAGCATTTCTGTGTATTCTTTGATTTCTATTTGTCTGCGATCTGTCTATATATGTCTAGTTGTTTAATATCATTTGACTGACAAGGCAACTGACAGTAGTAATAAAACTTACAATTTATTGATAACTTCTCTCATATCAATAGCTGTGATTTCTTTTCTCATAATATCTTCCATCTTCTTACGGATTTTAAAAACCTAAAATAAAACCAAAAATAATTCAGTTGCCTGTTAACAGAAAGGATATATAATGAGGTTTCACGTCTTACTTTTCTGAAACTGAACTATTTCAGATCACAGGCGCCTGTAACATAGAAAATATTTCAAAATAACATTAAGCTATGACTTAGTTTAATAAAGTCTGTTATGTCCATGTTCTTAAGCAAGATTATCAAATAACTCGACAGAAACCGATTCTCTTTCAGTAGATACAATACAAAGTTGAGAAACAGGTTGGAATTAAATAATTGAGATTAAAATTCACTTCTCTAGATTTTGTCAACCAGTGGCAATACTAAATTTCGCTAGGTAGAAAACCCAATCTACAATGACTTTTTAAACTTATCCACGTGACCCTCTTTAAGTCATGTGGACAATTTCTAAACGTACCATAGACTTGATTTTCTATCTAGCGAAAATTAGTGAGTAATCTAGAGTAGTGAACTTTGATACCAATTATTTAATTCCAATCTGTTTCTCACCTTGGTATTATTATATCTACTGAAAGAATTGGTTTTAAACGAGTTATTTGCCACAAAGTTAGAAATCAGAGCCAGACCAGTTATTTGATAATCTCGCTTACCAACATGACGTAACAGACTTTATACATACATGTAGCTTTGAAATATTTTCCACGTTACAGCCGCCTGTGATTCAGATGGGGATGTAGTGATGCAAGACCAGGCTGGAAACAATGGTTTTAGTTGTACCTGACAAAATGTCAGGCACTAATGAAAAAGTACCTGACATTTTCAACTTCGTGCTGGACATTAATAATATCAATAAAAAAGACAAATCAGTGCGGGACAAAATGACAGACACCAGAGGCTTTGTGCCTGACAAAGCCTGTATTTATGCCTAACATTGTGACCGGTGCCTTATTTCCAGGCTTGTAGGCGGTTTAAGGGATATTTTGTTCCCCCGGTGTTTCTACCTACTTTAACTCAAAATCCAACTGTCAAGGGTTTGCTTATGTGCACATGGGACCTTGTTTTTTTGTACCATTTGAAGGAAAGGAAATGAAATGGGTTTTAACGTCCTACTCCAAATTGCGCTAATGAAGATGGGCATATGCCATACATTGTGCTATGGGGTAAATTTTGTCCGGACAGTGGCACCTCTTATATCGAATTCCAACTGTCAAGGGATCTTTTACGTGCACGCCAATGTGTACACGAGACCTCGGGTTTTTCGTCCCATCTGAACGACTAGTCAGCTGTGCTTGTCAGGCCCTCTGCCCTGCATCACTGACATGGGAACCATTTGAAGGACTCATTCAAAGAGCACTAACAGGCATCCTATTCACAGAAATTTTGGGGAAGAATGGAATGGTTTGAGGTCTCAATGTAATATTATGGTCATTTGAGACACAAATATGGTAGTTATAATGGAAAAAGAACGAATAAACCTACGTGTTGCCTCTGGGCATAGCAGGTTTTCTTGACTTGGTTGGGTCGTTTTTTGGTGAAACCAATACAGAAAACACGTAGATGGTAGCCATCTGTTGTTTTGACGTCAACTCTGGAATCAATCATAGTCTGAAATAAACCATTATAATTATTACAGAGACAATGTCAACTTCCAACAAGACAGAAATATTTAATTTTATTTATCATTCAAAATAACCTCACATTCATCCAATAATCAACAATTTCATAACTGATCTACTAAGATTAAGGTACTTGAAAACTGTAAAGAATCTTTCAACATTTCAGCAATGGATGGTTAGATTTGTCTCACAGAATATGAACCTTTCCAACATAAATGTATAGTCAAATTAAACTGACCAGAGATCAAGTCATTATTCAAATTATTGGTTTGTTTGTTCTTTTACAGATTTCAAGACTTGTTGAAAAGAGTATGGAGTAAAAACATTTACACCTATCATGTGTGTCCTGTCTATTCAATTTCAACTTACCTGCCATTTCTTGACAACAGAGCAGAGTTTATCTCTGGTGAGTTCCATTCCCTGGAAGGTTGTCAGTAGATTTTTTCCCTGGACATCTTCAGCCAACAGTTTGAATTTACGGAACGTAACTTCATCATTCTGAAGGTCAGCTAAGGATACTTTAAACATACGACCTTTTAAACTGTCTGCGGCCAGTTCTGAAATTTAAATACATCAAAATGAAGAAAACAGTTACATGTATCTATAGGATAATCTCCCTGTCACATGATCAATGATATTATATTTATGGGAAAAGGAACAGGGTGGATTAAAAAAAAAAAAAAAAAAAGCCTATGGCAGGAAAACTATTTGATACAAAGTTTTCAGAAAGTTGGTATAAATATCAACATTTATATTTCAGTAGCAGAACTGGAGTATCATCATTAAACTTTGTGCAGACCTAATAGACCTAGATACCATAATTAACTTGTGTTGATTGGTGTTTGTCGCAAAGTTCTCAGGCTTTTGTCGTCTGGTTTCCCCTCTCAATGGTGCAGGACAGAGGGTATGTCAAGTAAAGCATCCTGGCATGGCAACATGTCCCACATAGAACACAACATGACATATGCCCGTCTTCATTAGTCTGATTAGTGTAGAAAAGTAAAGACTTTAAACCCCATTTCATGTTGCATCTACAATTCTGTTGTAAAAATATAAAGACAGAAATGGGGCTTAAAGTCCACTCGACATAAACTAGGTCATTTCAGGACTAACATATGGTTCAATTTTATTTCATTAAGTCACTTGCATGGGAGGAAACTGGAGGACCCGGAGAAAACCCACAATGTTGAACAGGTGACCCTACTCTTTTCACCTACAAGCGGGAATTGAAACCACACCATTTGACTCAATGACAGATCTTGTGATCAAATGCACACGCCTTAACAATTCGGCCACCCAACCCCCTTGTAAAAATATATATATAATACCAAGTTGATTTGTGTAAAATAATTCTGTTTCAAAGTATTACAGATAAGGATAAATATTATGACCGAATGAAAATATGCAATTTCCAAAAAAACAAACAAACAATAACTAATACTATATGACCACATAAAAAGGTTACTATACAAAGTTTTCAGAAAGTTGGTATAAATATCAACATTTGTAATTCAGTAGCAGAACTGGAGTATCATCATTAACCATTGTATAATAAGCCCACATGATATTCTAATCTTATAACTTGAGGGTTTGATAATACCATCATGAATACAGTGAGGCAGTAAGACAAAACATCCTATCTCATTTAGTCTAAACTCTAACAAGTGTCAATTTAGTATTTTCACTTACTTGTGCCAGAGCTTCTGGTTACTGGGGTAACACCGATGTCACGAACTGCGAACATAGATGGAGCACGGACATCGTACCATTCCTTCTTGGAGAAAGGGTCGGCTCTGAAAAATTAGGTTCGTTACATTAAATGGCAAGTCATGAATACAATACTACTAATAGGCCTACTATTATACTAGTCAATTTTTCAGCCGGAGAATGGCAAGGAGATCCGATTAGCGATAATATTTCAAACCAATGTCACATAATCTATTTAGCACTTTGTCGTTTACGCACAATTGAAATCTATTTTTTATTGCACTTTAAATGGTTTATAACTTATTAAATGTACTACAATCAACCTTTTTGGAGATCATAAGTGTGTTGGGGGGGGGGGGGGGCTAATGCAAGTCTTGTTAATACATGACATGAACATAGTGCCATAATTATTGATATGTTTTCTTGTGGTACATCCTACAAGTACAATATGGATACAATGTTGGACGAATAACCCAGTCTATTATTATTAAGAAAAAGTCACCAACAAAACTGTAGGTAGGTAATAAAAGTTTGTCACTTTGTGTTTACTAATTACTTGATCTTGATGAATTTAAAGTTTATTTGGCACTCCCTGTCCCACTTGCCTGTCTGGTCTTCGGACTTGTTTTCAATATCATTATCAATCAAGTTAAGACAGTATGTGACTATGAATATCAACCACACGCTCAACATTCACATGACATCAGTATCAGTTACTGATATTCAGTATGGTACTTTTCTTTCAATTTTCAACATAAATCAAAAGTTGCGCCAAATATCTACAATTTTGGACATAAAATGGGTGAGCACAGGGAACTGGGCAACTTTGATCTGATCTTAAAGACAAGCTTTTGTCAATTTGAAATGTAAACAATTCTGTTTTAAGTTACTTATAAGCGAGACATCATCTAAGCCATGCTTATAGGCTGGACTAGTCTTCATCTCAATCCATTATTTATCAACAAATCCTCGTAACATCTAGCATAGAAAATATATGGAATGAAAAGATAAATGATTTAGGAAGTCATATTTGAATTTTTATTAAACGTACGCCTTCTTTTTGCCTCCCTTTCTGCTTCCTTTTTGGACACGCTTATCCTTGCCCACAGCCATTTTCGGCTACCAAATGTAAAAGAGGAAGTTGGAAGGCGACGATGAAGGAATTGTGGGTAAAACGTATTAGAGTTACCCCCCTTTTGATTAATGGCGGCATATTTTGTAAACAAACTCGTTTTATTGCCATACACTCATTGAATTCACGATGAGTTTCATAGAAAACATAACGAAAGATATGGTTTTACCACCGTATGAACCCCCTCCACCCTATGTTCCACCAGGCCAGGTAAAGCATATCTATGTATTGTCTAAGTCTTAACGCTCACGCGGAATTTAATCTATTGTTTCGCTTGTCTTCTTGTTCTTCAGCTCTGCTTTCACTCTCAGTCATTACTACTCACGTCTACTGTGTGAACCATCGTAAATTTAAAACGGATTTCTTCGATTATGAACAAACTACTTAACTTTGGTTATTATAAACTTACCTGTGTGTTTGAAATCAACTCCCGTTAAATAAAATCCACTGCACAACTAATTATCCCAACGAATAAAAATGTTCTCTCTTAAAAAAAAATTGAATTCCCACAAACTTTGACACAGAAAAATACCAATATGGAAGCTGATTATGTCACTCTCCGAGAGATATCATTTCGTATAAGGGGTGACAGCATAGCAAATCGGCACTTTTACGACAATTCAAGTTTGGTTTAAGAAAAAGCTACAGTACAAATCTCGGCTCGGCATTGAGTTTGTGCGTTCACTCACATAACTGTCCGTATTCTTTTATTTTGTTGCCGTCTTTTATATTCTAGTAAAATCTCTGCAAATTTTATAACTTTACACCTTTTGAAATATTTTGTTTTAATTATTTGATTTGCTACTCGGACGAGATCATTTTCTTTTGAACACACATGCTGCACAACAACAATTACATTTGTTTTACGGGCCTTAAATATTTCCCAAGATTATCTTTAATATGATAAATTAATAACATATTTTTAGTTTATATATGACTTTATTTTTACGAGTATCAGTGATATTTTCATTGTGATTAAAATTTGATAGACTGGCGATCAATGGTTTCAACATGGACCGTGTATGCTCAGGAATTTTGTGCCACAACATATAATAGACCGGACAATCGTGACTAAAATAAAATTACCTCCCCTCGCGCAATTACCAGTATTAAGGTTAAAAGCAAAGAAACATAAATCAATTCATAATATTTTTTATTAATCTTGCTACTCTTTTTTTCTTTGCCACCCATACATAGATAGACTACTATAAATGTAGTAAATGTATCAACACATCGTCTTTGTTTACTTCAGACGCACCCATGTGAATTCGAAAAAACCATGTCGAGTTTTCGTTAAAAACAAACCTACTAAAACATTCTTTTAATTTTTACTTCTGCACAATTAATCATCATTCCGGACAGTATTATTCTTGAATTTTATTTTCATAATTTTAAAATCCTTCGTCCATGCGGGAATTTTGAGTATTTAGCAAAACCAAAATGCTTACAAAAACTACGAAAATATTGAAATCGATCATTCCACAATTTTCAACTGCTGCATTTGGAAATTTCAAAGTTCTAAACTGGAGAAATTCGTCACTACCGGATAGGAATACTTATTGGGTTGAAAAATTACCATGTAACTATAAGAATACTGTAAGTTCGAGAAATTAATCTGTATAAAATCCAGCTATGTCAAATATCACATCGCTTGATTTGCCGTTGACAATTGAGATCTCGTCATGACTCGAGCGAGCGGCAGAGAATCCAACCAACGGAACTATACGGTCCATAGTTTCAATATAAATCTTCAGTTGATATTTTCCGTCGCCCAAACTCAATACTTTGGAACATAACAACTCTGCTTTTAATTGAGGTAGAATGTTTAAACTTGATGTAGATGTTCATTAAGTGAATGTCTTGACTGAGTTCAATGATTAACATTTCGAGCTGAAGCTAAGCAGAGCTGATAAATTTCATTGGTCGATGGTTTGGGACAAGATAATCTTGATTCTATCTGATAGAGAGTGATGTGTATAGTTTGATTGCTCGATACTTTTGAAAAAAATAAATGTGTATGATTAATTAATAATAATATGTGTCATCTATTTATTTTGGGATTTCGGCAGGGGACATCAGCCTCACTGTTGGCTTGTTAGTTTAAAGATGCATTATGTACATGTAAGATTTAACCATTACCATTACCCCAGCTTTGCATGTCTAAAATAAGGTGTTATATAATTGAACAGTTAATTTTTTTATTAAAGATGCATTATGTACATGTAAGATTTTACCATTACCATTACCCCAACTTTGCTTGACAGAAAGTAAACATGTCTGATGTCAATGTATAATAACCTAAAAAAAAACAACAAAACAAACCACAAAAATAATTGAATTTGACTTTAGTTTGATTGTGTAATATATCCTGTATTTCTATGAATATATAAAAAAACACCTTTATTTGATTTCAGCGTCTGGATCATCCAGACTATATTGGTAACGTAAAAAACTTCCTACCGAGATGTGTTACCATGGTGAGAAATCAAACATCAGAAGCTGTGAGTTTTAGAGTGTAATCAAATCATTTGCACTTAGCACAAAATCTCCATAAATTTTATGGGAAAGGCTTGTGCTGTCTGGTCCTCTTTAGCCGTATTTAATTAAAATTTTGTAGGAAGAGGGATTGGATGAATCAGTTTAATCAAATTAATTTAGTCTGTAATGAAAATACTGTTCATCATCATATTGGTCATAATTAAAATCTCTGATCATCATTCAAGGGATTTTCAATCCCTTGTTACATTCAACATCTGCAGATGATATAAATGGGTTATGGTCAAAACAAGCTAGCTCCACATCTTATAATCTTTGCTAAATATTTACATGAGCCCCTTGTTAATCCGATTGTATCCAAGCTGGAAGATTATTAATGCGCTAAATTTCATATTGCTATAGATATTTCAGAGATTTCATCGATATTCGCGCATATCAGACCATAACCTCCTGAAATATGGCCCCAAAACTGGCGGACAAAATGGACGCCCCTTGATCGCAAATAGTGTAAACATCTGGTAATTCAAGGTTATGGACCCTCTAAAGGTCACAATTTTGATCCAATTTCAATGAAACTTGAAATACATGTTTATAACTCAAAGATATTGGTTCCTTTCGATATTCACACATACCGGATCGTAACATCCTGAATTATGGCCCTTGATTGAACAAAAAATCACGTTTTTAGCTTCTGGTCCCAGTAGAGGTCAAAATTTTTATCCGATTTAAAAAAAAAAAACGTGTGAATATATCACCATTACACACTAAGATTTTGGTTCCTTAACTTAACTTCCTGAATTATGGCCCCTGATTGTTCGAAAAATCGCATTTTCAGCTTGCAGATTCTCTAGAGGTCACAATTATTTTCCGACTTTAAAAACTGTTTAAATATATCACCATTCCACCATAATGAAGGTTGAATTCGTATTTCATGAAAATCGAAATGAAACTGCCTGACAAAATGGCAGCAAATTGTGTAGAAGTGTGTAATACGAAGGTTGTAGACCCTCTAGAGGTCACAAATTTTATCTGATTTTGATGAAACTTAAAACATATTTTTATATCCCAAAGATCTCTGTCTCTTTTGATATTTGCACATTTCAGGCCATAACTTTCTGGATTATTGCCCCTGATTGTACAAAAAATCACGTTTGTTTTTGGCTTGTTCTCAATCTATCTCTTGCAAAATGTGGGCGTATCCTGCCTGGCAGCCGCTGGTTACTGGAGGCCAAAGAAACCTATAATTTTTTGGCATCCTTCTTTGCAAACAATTTGAGCTATCGCTGTCTATCCTGTTGTTTGTTTTAGCAAAAGAACGATATTTCTTTTCTGGACTGGGTAATGAATTTTCTGAGAAGGCCCATTTAAAGCTGATTTCTGTAGAACCCCTATCCTGTTTGAGACTCCAAGACACTGGTAGCTGATTCATGTTTCTTATTGACCACACTGTTGCGTAGGGAAGAATAAAGTTGGTATCCATCCTCTCTTCTTCAAAATATATTTACAATTGACTTTCAATGAATGTAGCTCACAGACGAGTGTTCTCTAAGTCTCAGAAATGAATACAGATTCTTGGAATGGATCTTAAACACTTTATTTCAGGAGCAAATAAATAACAGCAACAATTAAACAACTTACATGTACATGTATAACTTCCTATAAACCGGTCCTCCAACTAGTATACCGGTTCCCTAAGCTGGTCTCTCCAACTAATCGATCATCTTACATACATTTATTTTTTTAAAATAAATTAGTTACTATAAAAGGGGTTGACATAAAAATATAATTACTTAAAGATACATTATGGGAGATTCTGTAACGAGTTGGCAGTTCTCACTATAATAGTTAAAAACTAGATAATGTAAAGGCAATTTGGTGAAAATTTCATTCAAATTGATCCACTATGAACCGAGAACTAAGCGACTGAAATTCCCATAAGCCTCGGTCATCATTACTAAAGTTAGTACGATAAACAGCATAGTCTCGATTACCATTTAATCGTTTAATCCAGATAGAAAGTTATGCAGTAAATCGGCTTACAATCCACTAAAGATTGCAGGCTAGCGCTGCCATCTAGAGTTGGTTATGGCCTGGATAGGTTAATTAATGTCTAATTAATAATTTAGATAACATTTCAGGCCTAAAGAAAGACCTGAAATAGGCAGATTTAGCTCTTGTATAATGTATGTTTAACAATTAAGTTTTTAAAGGCATTCGATACAATAGTTAAGAAACATAACAGATACTTTATTTGCCACCCTGTCATAATTTAAATTAACTGACAGATTAATTGTTGCCTGTCTCTTATGACTAACCAAACATTAATGAATATTAAAATATAGATTTGAAATTAAAAACAGAATTAGAAAATATTAAAATAACATATGACCTAGACATTGGTCATATATTTCTAGCGCATCAGTTTGCAAGACTGTAAAGTAATGATGACAAAAGATGATGTAAATCAGCTTAATCCTTATTTCTATTTTTAGCTTGGTTTTAATATTCGTGGAGGTAAAGAACATTTCTGTGGTATTTATGTTTCTAAGGTACTAGTTATTTTTATTTAATGCATTATCTTATGATTTTAGCAACTTGTTGATCACGGTTATGGTAATTTGTTAACTTAGACTGTAGCATATTGTACTTGGTCTCAAAAGTACTAAGAGTACATGTTTGTGTTATTGTACTTTGGTCTCAAAAGTACTACAAGTACATGTTTGTGTTATTGTACTTTGGTCTCAAAAGTACTACGAATACACGTTTGTGTTATATTTTTGGTTTTGGTTCTGTTTGGACAAAAAATTTCATTCATAAAACACAGCATGGTGTTTACCTGTTTCAATTAGCCCAGTTGATTTCTGTACATGCGGTAGAAAGTTTTCATTATGTTGTATTGTCCCTAACATATCTGTTTAAATTTAAATTAAAAAAATAAATAGTCACCGGGTAGGACTATATTTTCTGTCATCTGGATGACTGACAACGAGACTGTCGTTCCTGAGTGATTGTTTTCCATTAATATGTAATCTTTGTAATAAATGTATTAAATAAAACAGTTGTTCTTATGACCAGGTGATGCCCAACAGTGAAGCTAATAACTTAGGTGTTAAAGAGGCTGATCAGGTAAACAATATTTTTTGTCCTATGGTTTTGTAATTACTAACTGTAAACATCAACACTCATCTACAACTACCTGTAAACACCAGCACTGTCTTGTTCAAAACACCTGTAAACATCAGCACTCATCCACAACTACCTGAACACAACAGCACTCATATACAGCTACATGTACCTGTAAACGTCAGCACTCATCTACCTGTAAACATCAGTACTCATCTACAACTACCAGTAAACGTCAGCACTCACCCACAACTACTTGTAAACATAGCACTCTCCACAACTAACAACATCACTCATCCACAACTACATGTAAACATCAGCACTCATCACTTGTAAACACCATCCCTCACCCAGAACCATCTGTAAACATCAGCACTCATCTACAACTTCCAGTAAACTTCAGCACTTACCCACAACTACTTGTCAACATCAACACTCTCCACAACTAACAACATCACTCATCTTCAACTAACTGTAAACATCAGCACTCAACCACAACTACCTGAAAACATCAGCCTTCACCCATAACTACCTGTAAACACAAGCCTTTACCCACAACTACCTGTAAACACCAGTCCTCACCCACAACAACCTGTAAACATCAGCACCTCTATAAAGATTAGAAAAGAAGCTATCTATTTGCCTTAGGAATGGGGTTTAATTCCTTCTTTTCTTTAATTTCAAACAGTCAAGGGTTTTCTATCTGCACACCAATGTGTACATAATAAGTAGACCCCAGTCTCCGAGAACCCACCCCAAAAAGTCAAAAGTTGGGCTTGAATTATCCTGAAGGCTACTATCAGTCAACGCTAGGAATCAACCTGGATTATTCTAGTCAGCTCCATTACTTCTTATAGTATTGTCATTTATTTAATGCGTTCAACATGTTAAAAACATGTTCAAGTCATCTAAAAGAATTAATCATGGTTTTATTACAGATTTTGAGTGTTAACAACCTTGATTTTAAAGATATAGAGCACTCAGAGGTAAGTCATCTGAATTTTTATATGCCCACATTCAAATGTGGTCGTATATTGTCGCCCCCCCGCCGTCCGTCCGTCTGTCGGTCCGGCGCGCACAATTGCTTTTGGACACTCTAGAGGCTAAAGTTAATATCCGATTCACTTTAAATTTATACACAGTGTTTAAGGTCATATAGCGAAGAAGCCTATTGATTTTCAGCGATTTCTGATAATTACTACCAAAGTTATGGCCCTTGATCACTTTGAAAAATCTTGTGATGCTGTAGAGGCTAAAGTTATCATCCGATTGACTTCAGATTGATACACAGAGTTTGAGGTCATGAGATGAACAAGTATATTGATTTTCAATGAATTTGTATAACTTGAACAGCTACATCCATGATATTAAAGGTTTCAATACTAAACGCTAGCATGGGGCAGAACTTTATAAAATTCAAACAAATTCTAATGGTTTTCTGATAATTACTTAACGATTTGTTACTCTTAATCAGATTTTAGTGTATTATAAATGTTTGATTTCTGAAAAATATGCGACAACTCTTATTTACTGCCCGGACGATTTAGCTGCTGTGGGTGTATGTTTCGTTGCCTGGCAACCTATCTTTGAGTATCTGGGGGTCGATTGTAAACTTTTTTTGGCTCTAAAATACCATTTCAAAACATTAACTCAACACTCAGAAAGACCCACTGATCAATAGCTTCATACTCAATTCACATGCAAATAGCTTCTAGAATATATAATATCCTCCTCAATTCACAATTTAGAATTTAAGAATATAAACTTTCTGCCCATATTGTGTTATCGATAAGCATATCCATCCAAAATGTATTAAAAATGATCAATCCTAAAGTATGTTATGGTCATCGAAAGTTCCCATTACATGTATTTTGTACATTAGCTTTTATCTTTATAGGCTGTAAAAATATTAAAGATGAATACTGTTATAGAAATGGAATTACTTTATTTTCCTTACGGTGAGTTGTTTGTATAATATTATCTTTCCATTCAGAAATTTCTGAAAAAAAACTAAGCCTATTTCAAATCTCATTACTGGTATTCTAAATCCTAAACGTCTGCTTTCTTTTTTGCAGGATACAATAAAACTTATGAAAAAAATAGATTGATGTCTGCAAATTCACAGTCTTCAAGATGACCTCAAGAATGACCTTCGGTCCGTTCCATTCCATCTTTTTACACCCAACACTTCACTATGTATTTTTTATTTCACGACATATTGATGCCTATTTGCATATTATGTTAGGGATGGGGTTGGACGATGGGGATATGTGTTCTTGAAATGCTCAATGTCCAGCAGATTTACTGCAAAGTATTTTATATGTTAAAAATGTGCTTCTCTATTTTAACTTTTATTTAATATTATATATAGATTTTACTTCCTTCCACATTTGCAGTGCCACATGTAGGCCTATTATTAGTTCCTCATAATTCTGTTATTATAATTTATGGGCTTCAATGCAAGATAAGATAATTTCTCAGTGAGATATCTTAGGTCAGTATAATAATTTAGTAATGTTACTTTCTATCCAATAGACTTGAACACCAACATTTAGAACCACACTTTAAACACCCTTTTCTCAAAGTGACTAAAATACTTGTCTTGAAAATATGGGATCCTAAATATCCAATAATTACGACAAAATGAACATTTTATAATTAGTACACGACGATGTGTGTTCTATGGTTATGGCTGCTATTTGTAATGAACAAAAACAATGTGGAAGTAATTGTAAATACTGATTCACAAACGACAAAATATTAATGATAAAAAAAAACCCAGTAGAATGGACTAAGAAGGCATAAACGACTGTTGTTTAATATGGAATGTTCACCTATTTCACCAAACATAACCATTTAGAAATTACACCATTGATCTGGTTTTCGACCCATTTTCAGATACCAAAGAATAGAGCTATAGGCCCTTTAAGACTACGGGATAATTTTTATATAATTTTGCTTTTTAGGTAATTAACCCATAACTATTCAGGGTGAAAATGTCTATGTAAGATCATGCAGTCATACTTTTTACGTCCCAGCATTATCTAGATGTCAACAGGGGAATGTTAAATGCTTAAATTTTCTAGAGTGGATTCAATCAGTTTTAAAAAGCTTGGGGGAGTTGGGTGATCAAATGGTTTAATGCGTGCATGTTAGATCGTAAGGTCTGTCTTCGAGTCAAGTGGTGTGGTTTCGATTCCCCTGCTTGTACATGACAAGGAGTTTGGTCAGGTGTCCAACCTTGTGTTTCATCTCACAGCTAAAGACCCCTACATTCAAGAAAATTGAACCATATGTTATTCCCAAAATAATCTAGTTTGTGTCGAGTGGACGTTAAACTCCACTTCTCTCTCTTAAAAAAGCCCATCAAAAGATCTTAAATAACAATTAAGGATTTTTGTCCCCTGCCTTTCTAAGAAAGCAGGGGACAATTTAAATGGGTTCGTCTATCTGTCTGTCTGTCTGTCCGTCATACTTTTTGGGACACAATAACTCTCCTTCTAAGTGAGCTAGAATGTTCAGACTTGGTGTAGGTGTTTATTAGGTCAATGCCTTGATGGAGTTCGGGGATGAGCGTTTTCTGCTTAGGGTAAGCAGAGATAAGCAATATGATTGGTTGATGCTCTGGGACACGATAACTTAGTTCTAATTAAGTGAGAGTGATAAGACTTGGTGTATAATTTCATTACATCAATACCTTGACTATGTTCGATAATGAGCATTTTCTGCTCAGGTTAAGCAGAGCAATAAGCAGTTTGATTGGTCGGTAAGCAGAGATAAGAAATCCGATTGGTTGATGCTTTGGGGCACGATGACTTTGGTTATAATTACGTGAGTGTGATGAAACTCTGAGTATAGATTCATTATATCATTACCTTGATTAAGTTCGATGATGAGAATTTTCTGCTTAGGCTAAGGAATAATAAGCAATTTGATTGGTCAAGACTTTGGAACATAATAACTCTGCTTTTAATTGAGGTAGAATGTTTAAACTTGATGTAGATGTTCATTAGGTGAATGTCTTGACTGAATTCAATGATTAACATTTCGAGCAAAAGCTAAGTGGAGCTAAACAGTTTCATTGGTCGATGTTTTGGGACAAGATAACTTTGACGCTATCTGATAGAGAGTGATGAAACTTAGTGTATAGTTGATAATCAGTTTGATTGCTTGATACTTTTGAAAAAAATAAATGTGCGATTAATTAATATGTGTCCTCTATTTTTTTTTTTGATTTCGGCAGGGGACATCAGCCTCACTGTTGGCTTGTTTAAGACATACTCAGTCTTGATTTTTTCTCATTATAAAATTTGTTCAAGCCTCAAAGCTGATTTTGTCTCATTTTTATTTAGAATAATTCATGAATACAGAAATCCTTACTTTTAAAACTATTTTCAAGTGCTTCTTTTTTTTTTGTATTTAAATATTAATAAATATATATATTTTTTAAATTTTATTTTGTTATATATAGAGTAGTGAACTCGTCTCACATGGAACTTTACTTGATTGTCAAGATCCTTGTCATTGGTGTGGTCGAGGTGGTCGAGCAGTAGGGCCTCACTCCCCTTTTTCAGCAGGCTGACAAGAGGAGTGTGCCTAGTCATTCGGACATAATAAAAATCGAATGTCACATGTGTGCACATTGACACGTATGTAAAATAACCATTAACAATAGGTATGCGATGAAGAGTATGTGAGCAAAATACTCGCTCTTGCCCTCACCCTCCCAACTTAACCTTCGAAACGAAAAATATCATTAGTTGATAAGATGTTAAACCACATTCCATTCTGCAACTTGTCTACATGAAACTCTTTTAATTAGGAACATTCCATCAAGTCGTAAATACAAACTCAAGTGTATTGATAAGACATTTTGTGAGCACTATAATCCATTACTGTGAATTAGTTTTTTTGACAAGAATCTTCCTGACAACTGAGTCTACTCTACAGTTAGATGTATATTGTCTAAACTTGAACACCTGATCATTATTTTTATTTGCAGTTGGGGCTTGACACCCAACTGCCTGCCAAATCCGAGCGAGTGTGGTAACATGGATCAGGCAGCACCTGCTTGCCTTCATCTCACGGTCATCCTGATTCGGTTTTTATTTTTATTACTTGTTCCCAGGTGTAATGCCTTTTGATCTGAGTAAGAATGTCCTGAATAGTCCCTTTAGACGTTGTATCTCAAAAGTCGTGATTTGGCCTATAACCCGGGGCTAAGGGTGATCAACCCTTTGCTAGACTAGCCTCCAAAACACAAATGGCAAGTTTCCAAAGAAAACATTTGTCTGCAATATTACCCTTCGGGGAAGTGTACATCAATCCACACAAAAAAACAAAACAAAACAAACAAACCTGGTCATTGCTGTAGAATGATTTTAATCAAAGAAATTTAATTAGGCTGACACAATCGAGGGAATGAAATGTCTTCTACTTATGCTTATTATGCCCAAGCTATTTAAACATCAGATTATGAAAAATGTGCAGATTCCTGGCAGGGAATTTAACAATGTTCAGCAATTTATTATCTCCCTTTGACATGTCTTGTGTGTGGAAATCTCAGTCCTAATATCAGTGGCACAATGTGTGACTTTCATTTGTTGAGACAGTACCTGGAATATGATAATACCTTATAATTTGACATAAATATCTAAAGTGGGTGTAGACTTATAACAGACTCTGCACTTAAACAGCAGAAAATAATTCAAGAATTTACTTAGGCCTCAATATGTATGGTAATGGACAGTAAGTAATGACAAACACATTCTGAAAAATGGGCCCTTCCTCAATCAATTTAAGTGACAAACATGGCTTCTAAAAACAGATTTTTTATAGCTTGGTGTATTTCCCTGTGAATACAAAGTTTTGGGAGGGATTTGAAGCAAATTATTGATAGATTAATTAGTTTGAATATGATTTTAGTCCAAATATATCATCAAATCAATAAGTTTACATTTTTTTGTTAGAAAAATAAAAAAAGGCTATAAAAAATACATATTATCACATTCCTTATTCAGCAAGCTTAGATTATTTTATAAATACAATTAGAAAATTATAGATAAAGAAACTTAAAATTATTCCAACAAATGTATAATGAATATCGTCAACAAGGTTTACTTTTCAATTAATGAGAAGTGGTGTTAGGTGTTCTTGAATGTACAAAACGTATTGATAGACCTCCTTGTGCACAATATATTGAGCGATAAAACTTATGACTATTTAGGTAACAAACAATGTTTTCATAAATAATTTTAAAAAATACAATTAATTTATCAATCAATATATGTGTATAAGAAATATTATGCTCTAATAAGCTTTCTATAAAAAAATAACAAATATATAACAAAAATACAATTACAATTTATCACTGAAATCATTTGACTGAACATCAGTGATTAATGTTTTGTGAGCCATTGTCATAATAAGGCTACAAAGTTACCAATTAACAGACACAACTTCATTTTGAACAAATTGAATTAAGATTAAGACACAGTTCAATAAGAGGCTTCATAAACCAAATGAATTAAGATCAAGGCACTCAATTATGAGTTTATATAAAGGGCTTTGGAGGTAATATAGGTGTACAGTCCTCACCTACACTTTCATTAAAAAACCATTAGCTCTTTGGAGGTGGTGTTTCTGCAGGTTAACAAAATAACTGAGTGGTCTAACACAAGCACTTTAGGCCATAAGGTCTACCGGTATCAATGCAGTTTTGTGCCAGGCTTGTTAAGTTGCCTGCCTAACCTTAAACCCTCTCTTGATATTCAAATTACATTGCAATTAAAATTAGAGATGGAATTTACCAGCTGTACAAATCTGTAATGCTTTTCAAGGACGTCAATGCTTGGATTTTCAATATTTTATGTGAGATTAAGTCTATTTAGAATGTGATATCATTCAAAATTAATTATATACTTTTTTATTAATTGGTGAAAGAATGTTCACATAACTAGTTTTTACCTTTGATTTACGATTCTACAAATTTGTCAATCTAATACTTTTCAAGTCAAGTCATGGTTAATTTTTTGATAATTAGGAAAGTCTAACTATGTCTATATTAAATGTGATATGATTTAAGATTAACTCCATTTATTTTCTTTAATTGGTGAGAGAGTGATCATACTAACTAGTTTTAACCTTCAATTAAAGAGTACATTTATATTCTTAATTTGAAGGTTACTAGAATTATTTGCATGTACATATAACCTTGATTATTTCTATGTAACTAGAATATTATTTGCATAGAACTAGCATGGAACTAGAATTAAAACACTTATTTAATATGTTTTTTTATCTTACAGACATTCAGAGTCCATTTTTTTTGTTCTCTGCTTTAAGAGGTGCCCAATTGAAGCCAATTTTATCTGAAACATATTTTTTAAGTTGTTCTAATTTTATGTCTCGTTCTTCATCAACATGGAGAAAACGCTGTAGAGATGTCAGCTGATAGACACCTGAATTATCCAGCTTAATAACGGAATCGTCATCTTCATTATCGCTATCCTCATTCTCTGTTTTTATATTCTTCTCTAAAAAGATCAATTTCGACCACTCCCGTAAATCAGCTAACTCCATGATAGTTCCTAGGTTAATGTCACCATGGAACACTAGTTTGCAAAGTTGTCGACATTTTTTTGCTAGATTCAGCAGTTCTCGGTCACTTTTACTGGCGTCACAATAGCAGTTTAATGATTTTAATGTTTCATTAAATTTTTCCGTCAGAGCAATCAAAAGTTCCCCATCACATTTAGCATGTCGTAAAATTGTGAGTGATTCCAATGGCATTTCTGGTTTCAATAAAATTCCTAAATCGAAGTTGGTGATCCGTGACATTACAGTACACTCAATTGCAATGTTAGGATGAAATTCTTTTAATTTTACCCACAATCGACTTGGTATATCTGGCATTTGGTATTGCGGGTCGTGCACTGAATATGTCACAAAAATTTGTAATAACTGTAGTCTTGTTCGACCAGGTGAAATGAGTTCATAAAAAAGTTCTTCGCTTAACATTGGTGATCGAAGGGACAAACGCTTTAAATTTCTAAATCCTAATATGATTGTAGTTGTCAATTCTGGAGAGGGTAGAATAGGATGTCTTTCTGACCAATCACAATCCTTCAACCAAAACATATTTAAAGACTCCAAATTCTTCATTTTTTCATTTTTACGCAAGACCTGAAATATATTGTAGTCTGGATCACTGAGTAAAGCTGGATACATTGGCCAAGAAGTGATATTCAATTCTTTTAAGATATGGGCTTTTTTAACCAATTTCAATATAGATGCTAAATCCTCATTTACCGGTTGGTTGCCATGGAGATGAAAACTTGAAATCATCAGTCCAACCTCCAGGGTTAAAACCTGCAGACGACAATTTTCTGACAGACCTTCGAGTAAAACTTTACTTTCAGGATCCAACTGTCCGAAATGACCTCGAATTTTGATGTGAACATTTTGAAAAAGATGTCCGAATATTTCGATGAGCTTTGTACATTTTTCGGACATCAGAGTGTCGCATACGTGAAAGTTAGTATTACCCCCAACCATACAGATATAAGCATAGTTCCATAGTGACGGGTGACTAAAATAACCATGGAGATGATGGCAGGTCAAGGACAATCTATATCGGTCACCTAGTGTTAAATATTTCATGATGTTCACCCAGACAACATCTGGTAACTGGCTGTAGTCAACCGCCATCTGAAAATAAAATGGTCTCAATATAGTTTACAATTTACCCTGTTTATGAAAATCAGGGCTAGATGTCAGAACCTGTCCACTACTAAGCCTAGCTGTATAATAGTGAAAATCTGCGTTACTTCTGGTCCATACTGTATTCTATAATTTTCCTAGATGCTACAGATTATTGCCATAATTTCCAGATGCAAAATTCAATTAATTCATACACATCAATAAAAGTTAAATACACTGCCGGAAAAACTTGCGGGAAGAAATACATAAAGCAGCTAGCACAAAGGGGTGTCGGGGGATGTTGGGCGGGGAGGGGGCAACTTGATTTGAAATATTCTGATTTTATAAGCATCTTATTTGATGAGTTTTAATGCATATTAAAACATTTTCTGACCCTATTTGAACCGCACAAAGCATTTTGTGAGCTCTAGTTCATTTAGGTTACATATATCTGTGGTGTTAATTATTTAGATTGATACTTTTAATTACTAGAATGACAAAATATTTCTATAGGAAGCCATGTAGTTATTGTCTGCAGGACAAGGAATTGAACCTTCATTAATTACAGGACAGCTCCTTGGGTACAGTAAAATGTTAGGAAAACTTCATGGACAGATTCCGGAATAAGTCCAAATTAATTTAGTATATCAGGTACTAAAAACAAATTTCATGCACAATGTCTCAGGCTTAGGTTTTTTTTTGTTTAAAAGAACCATATCTCTAACTCAATATTTTCCATAATATTCAAAATTAAAAAGAATTAGAATTCAATATTGGTCAATTTCTATCAATATTGATGTTGTTATTTTGCCGTGAAAATATAGAATCCTAATCAGGGCCAGATTAAAGAACAGGCCAACTAGACCATGGCCTAGGGCCCAGCGCTTTTAGGGGCCCCTGTGTAATCATTCTCTGTGTTTCTATAAGCTCTCCCTCAAGTGGTTCTATAAATCCTTCCAATAATCTGCTGGTACAGTAAAGCATTAATATAAGCTTATATGAGAACAAGTTTAAATTACTTATTTTATAGGTTCTCTTGGTATATAAATTGAAACTTTTATAATATGGTATGGAAGATTAAAAAGGACTATACTTTGCTGTGTTTCTTTTATTAAAGGGGCATTATGTAATATTTAGATAAAGAGCTGGCCGTTCTCGCTATAGTATTTCAAAAATACATATTGCAAAATGAATATATTAAAAATTTCATTCTAATTAATTTATTTTGAGCAAAGTTATCAATGGTTGAAGTTTTGACAAGATGTGTGCATTAATTGTAATCACTGTTACGTACCATACTGGTCATTTGAGATTAAGCCTCGTTTCTCCATGTGTACATTAAATCAAATCATTACATGGCTGAATCGTTCTACTCTATTTAAAATCTGAACCATCCGATAGAATCCAGAGTTGATTATGGTCTTGTCATGTTAAACATACATTATGCAAGAGCTAAATCTGATTATTGCAAGTCTTTATTTAGGCTTCAGATGTCATAGAAATTATAAATTAGATCTTTATTTACACAACAAGCACAAAATCAACTCTGTACACCCACGGATGGCTTGGATTCAGCTTGTATTTAAACGGGATTTCGTTGACTGATTTAATTTTAAATGGCGTCGTAAGCGGAGATTAACCGTTACGTTGACATCATACTCTCCCGGATCGAGGCTAAATGATAGAGTGTACGAAGCGAGGCCGCTGTTGAGCGATGCCTTAACAAATGACATCTAAACTATTTAAAGTGCAATAAACTAAACACAGATAATGACAAATTATACAATTTCTGGAGACCGTGTGATGATTAATACAGACGGACAGGTCTTCTGTCTTAATAATATCAATAAAAATATTTTTATTTCCCCAATAGGCACGTCGCCACTGGTGTATACCTATAGATTTATCATAATTGTATTATAATATTATGTCCTATATTCAATTGATTTAATGCATGCCCAAAATACAAGTAAGAATGAAAATTTACCCTCTCACCCATTTTGTCCAATTGTTATAAAAATCCAAAAAGGTAAAACACAAATTCGGATATGATGACAACAGACAAAAGACAGCAGAGATTATGTTCGTGAAGTTAACGCCTGTCAATCAAACGATCGGCCGTACTAAGAATCGGTGAAGATGGAATTCAATCCCATTTCTAGTCAAAAATTACACTGGTGATAGGCCTAACTATGTTCAGAATAAAGTAATTTGACTGAAATTTTCAATATATTCTTCTTTCATCATCTATTTTTGAACTGTTATAGCAAGAATGGCTAACTCTTTATAAAAATCTCCCATAATTAATAATTTATATTTCTGGCCCAAAGAAAGACATGCAATAGGCAGATTTAGGCCTAGCTCTTACATAATGCCCTTTTAAGTAGAATTTACAGTAGCCCCATGAAATATTTTGGCCTGATAAAAAACAAAACAAAAAAAAACGTGTAGGATAGACTGAGCAGGCGTAAAAATGACTGCCGTTCAATTGGAACTGTTCACGTATTTCACCGAACATAACTGATTAGAAATTACAGTATTTCTTTCAAAAATTGAATATAAATCACTTTACATACATTCATATTACATACATTCGTATTACATTAATATTACATTAATATTTGCTTTTAAGAACCATTTTGGTCTATTTCAAGGTTCCAAAAAATAGGCACATACACCCTTTTACTATAAATTATACTATTTATTATAGTTGCCCCTGTGGCCGAAACTTAAATTACGTCTAATTAATGCCATGGACTTTGTCCACAATAAATGTCAGTGGTAGATAGCTAGACTCCAGAGAAATAGCCTCCACTGACAGTTATGCCATTTACCGACCTGATTGTTTGAAACTTGACTGAACTAAGTATGGTCGATTGAAAAGGGCTAAACAAATAAGGGTGTGTCGGCATAGGTGTAGACTGGAGTGGATTACGTTTGGTCAATCATTTTATGATAAATGCTTTGACCTGTCTGGGTTATATGTTTATAAATAATAATAATATACATTCGAAAAGTATTAGCCTATATTTAAACAGGAAAACATTTAAAATGTTCTTAATTTTGAACTCCTAAAACAATTAAAATTCATTTACGTCAGCGGTTTCTTCCCTTTACTTTTACTTTAGTTTCGTTGTATGTAGGTCGCCGGGGGATTTCCGGCCAAACACTATGGAAAGGTGTCGCTGCCAATATTAAATGCTCTGCTAAAATGCCTTTTCCATTGATTATGTGTAAAAGGTACAATGTACAAAGTACTAGTAATACCGGTAATGATAAAGTCAAAATACCTCTAAGAGAGTCTAAGGCCAAAGTTAAACGTAAAACGCCAAATGTAATGTGTCAAATGACAAATGTTTTATTGGAAAGGGCAGTTTTTTTAGGTGTCTACATTTGACATTTCTCTCATTAGATTTTACACTCTGCCGCATCTCATTTGTCCTTCACGTTTTCTACAAAAGTACATAGCATCTTATCAGTTTGATAGGCAAATGTGGGATATCACGTGACATATTAACATATATTTTTCAACACCCAATATTAACATTATGAGATCACGTGAGATTGCATCTTGCCCGCGAAAATCAGTGCGTGCTTGCCCAGTCACAAGCGAAGGACGTGTTTCGAAGCTCTTTGCTTATTTGTCATTGTGTCTTTTTTAAAAAAGTTTTTTTTTAATATTTGAACATCATAATCATATCTATTTTGTCCTTGATTTTCAATTGTAGATTTCAAATCAGCATCTTATCAGTTTGATAGGCAAATGTGGGATATCACGTGACGTATTAACATATATTATACGGGAAACCAGGCAGAGATCAACCTGGCACTCTATAAGCCAGCACACGTTAAGAGGAAATCAACCTGGCACACTATAATTAAGCCAGCACATGATAAGAGGAAATCAGCCTGGCAAACTATAAGAAATTTACTTACCTTGAAAAACCATCAAATTTGGATAGTGGGAGGGGGGGATATGCAATGTTAAAATACAGGTCATAATACGAAATTCCAGATATCATGTTACATATCAGTGAAAAGCATGTTCATGTATACGCATTCCTCTGTCTAATTATATTCATTATTTGTTGGGCACAAATACTTTTTTTTTCTAAAATGGATTAAAGTTAATTAGCCTGTACTTAAATTTAGAGAGAGGCTGTGGTGGGCAGTGGCGAGGGTTTAAAATGTCAAAATTCCAGTTATCGTGTAATACATCTCTGAAAAGTATGTTTCTATGGCTCTTTGAATCTATCAGTTATTTCCTGGCGCATTCACAAAATTAAGTACTTTAAAGAAAAAAAAATCCTTGTTGTTTTATCGAAAGAAATGTGTCGCTGTCCAACAGTAACCTAATTACTATGGGCCCTACTTTCAATTTATCTTATTTGTCAAAGGCTCTACACACGATTTCATTCAAGGCACGAGGGGTTGGATGGCTGAATGGTTAGCGTCTCCGCGTGGTATCATAAGGTCCTCCTTATTCCTCCCACTGCTAAAGACCCCTATGCACAAGCGAATTATTGAAATAAAATTGAACCATATGTTAGTCCTGAAATGGCCTAGTTTATGTCGAGTGGGCGTTAAACCCCATTTCTCTCTCTCTCTCTCTCTTTCTCATTGCAGGCACGGTCTTCCAGTGAATTTCTTATAGTTTGCTATGTTGATTGCCTCAATATGTGCGGTAAATATCTTATACTATAAGTTATAGTGTGCTGGCTTTATAATTTATAGTGTGTCAGGTTGATCTCGGCCTTCTTTCCATCTGTTAAGTCAGGTGATATCCTACATTTGCATATCAAACTTAGTGCTCTGCGTAAGATGCTATGTAGAAAGTGTGAAGGACAACTGTGATGCAGCAGAGCGCAAATGTAAAATGTAATGAGTGAAATGTAAAATGTAGACACATCAAAAAACAGCATTTTCCAATAAAACATTTGACACATTGCATTTAACGTTTTACTTTTAACTTTGCCCTTAGAGGTATTTTGACTTAATCATAACAGGTATTATGACTTTATCATAACCGCTATTATGACCTTGTACATTTTAATTTTCACACATAATCATTAATAATCAATGACAAATACATTTCAGCAGAGCATTTAATATTGGCAGCGAAACCCTTCCATAAAACACGTAGGAAATGCTAGATCGGAGACGGTCTAGCACATATGACGTCATATGTGGAATTTGGGTTAGGGTAAGGATTAGGGCTGCAGATTTCAAGATGTAAACAAGGCTAGCGCTAATCCCAACCCTAACCAAGGAGCTAGCCCTAAACATTACCCTAACCCAAACCCAGTATCCACATATGACGTCATTTGTAACAGGCCGTCTTCGATCTAGCGTCCTCCGGTCACTTGTTTTGTTTTACCGAGAAAAAAATAGAATGAGCTGTCATCAACTTATATTTATTAGCTCATTAGCAGTGAATATCAATAAAGATAAAACACTTTTTACACCATATCAATTTTCATGTAAAAAGAACAATTAAAAAAGTAAATGAATTAAAACTTTAGAAAACGAAAGAATTATAGACTCATTGTCATTACATCGGCCTGTCCAATCTGTTTCACAGAGAATTACGAGTCTCGTATAATATCTCTGTCATAGATGACTGCCTTAACACGTGCTATCACAGCACGCGGTGTGAATCATTGGCTGAATGGCGCGTGCATTGTTTACATAAGACATAACTGCTTCGGAGAGAATGCTGCATTTTAGTCATTTTAATACCCATACACTAAATCGGAAATAATTTTTAACTACAAATACGTCAAACGCCTTTATTTATTTTTTCAATATATACAACAGTTTTTTAGAATTTAATTTGTCGCAGGAAAAAGGTTAATATTTCTAGCTCATTAAGCCGCATCAATGTCATCCTTATCAGTGATTGTCGCGGCCAAGCAAATATTCACTGCGGATCAGTGTGCGGCCTGTCGTCCACAAATTACTTGTAGATATCGCCTGGATAAACCTGTCTAAATCAACCGGAAATGGTATGTTATTAGAAATAAACAAGAGCGAAGTCTTCTTCAAGAAATGTTTATTTTTGCCCCCTGTCAATCGAGGTTTGTATATGATCGCCCTTCTAACACAATTGTCTCTCATTTCTTGTACGGTTGAAAGAATAATGATTAAAATTAAAAAATGCTGAAAACATAAAACGAATAAAAATTCAGTGGACTGAGTGACTCACTCTCATTTTGATTTTATTTTGGTTGGCTCAGCTTGGTTAACCAAGCTACATCATAGGCCTACACGCTAAAAGCTATTTATGTTATGGAAAAACAGTTATTGGATTATTAATAATGCAACGATTCGACAATAGTACTGTCTTCTTTATCAAGCAAGTGGGGGGTTGGATGGCTAAATGGTTAGCGTGCGCGCGCTGTATCATAAAGTCTGTCATTGAGTCGACTGGCGTGGTTTTGAATCCCCGGTTGTACGTGACAAGGAGTAGGGTCGCCTGTCCAACCCCGTGGATTTTCTCCGGGTCGTCCGGTTTCCTCCCACTGCTAAAGACCCCTACGCGCAAGCGAATTATGTAAATTTGAACCATATGTTAATCCCGAAATGACCTAGTTTGTGTCGAGTGGACGTTAAACCCCATTTCTCTCTCTCTCTCTTTATCAAGCAAATGATAGCATTATTAGCATATGATATATATAGGTAAAACCCTAGATATGGGTGCCAGTTAAGTCATCCACAGAAGCAAAGTTAAAAGTCGTCAAGAACCATTGAAGTTGTTCACAAGGCATTGGTTATGTCGTCCACAACTAATGGTTAAGTCATCCACAACCAATGCTTGAATTGTACACAACTAAAAGGAGCTAAATTGCTAATATTTGGAACCAAGAAATTGACACAAATGGGTCGCAACGCATTTAAGAATGTATATTTATATAAACTGATTTACATTCAATTGATTCAGTTTTTACTCTAATTTCAAATCAGTTGTGTGGCGAAATACGCCAGAAATCTCAATCAAATGGCAATCTCTTGCATCCAGTCTACACCAATAGTATTTATTGTGCATGCTATGCAGATAAGAATATGGTGTCACCGTTTGACATGACTGGTGGAATATGTCTAGCCTGGTTTTTCCAATCCCTTGTTACAATGGTGCTGAAACCCATTATGGTACACGATTTGTGTACTAATGGTAAAATGTTTATTTTGTCATAAATATTGTCTATCAGTTAGCCAATCACAGCATCAGTGTTGATTTAAGTTGACAAATAAGTTGTGTTTTCTATGACGAAGACTTTGTATGACATTGAGTTAGAGACTTAGCTACTTTAAGTCGTCCACAACTAATATTATTTTATTTTTTTGATATAGTTCATCAATGTTTTTGTGGTAAATTATACTTGTATTGTTTGTAAATTGGCGTCATGATTTTAGCCATAACTGTTCTAATATGAAATTTGACTATAAATCAAAGATTAAACACGCTGTCCCTAGATGATAAGCTAAATTGAACTCACTGTCATATTAATTGCTGAATGGCTTCGTTTGAAATTTGAGTATACACATGTATATTGATCGTAAAATTTAACTTTCATTACCATACCCTCATTAGTTCTTACTGATATATCTCATAAGTTCTGTTTGAAATCTGCTGTTTTAAATATTTTAATATTTTACTATGGCTAGTGTGTACCAAGGGTATGCGTTCCCAACAAGAGGCATTGCAATGCAATGTCACACTGATCAGCAGTGAATATTCGCTAGGTCGCTATAGTCACTGATAGGGATGACGTCGGTGTGATTTAACATTTTACCTTCTGCAAATTAAATTCTAGAACAATATTTCCTGAAATAAATGGGTATGTAAAATAAGTAAAAGGCACCATTCTGCCCGGACCAGTAACGTCTTATGTAAACAATGCATGTGCCAATGATCGACGCCGCGTGATGTGACATCACATGTTGAATATAGTCCTGTTTTACAGAGGTATTAGAAGCCTTAACAATACCCCTGTGAAACTGATGCGATGCTTGTGACCTGTGTAAACCTGGCTTGCTCCCTGCCGCAATATTGTCAACGAGGAGGTCCTACAAAAGGCCAAAGGTAATTTGTTTCTATCCACGTCAGCAATTGTGGGGGAGGTGATGACAGAGTTTCCAAATGCAAAATACCACTATTGAAAATCTAAAAATTCCACAAATTATTAATGACTAAACACATGCATAATGAATTGAATATTGGTACCAGCAGGACTAATAGCAGTTAACTTATTAACTGATTCATGTATAAATGAGATTAAAATGTTAATAGAAAGTAATTAACGCATTAACAATCTGTGTTGTCTTATACATGTATGCATATTCGTCATGAAAATAGTATTATACAGATCCATGAAGGGGCCTAATTCATGCAAAATATCATTCAGAGACCACAGCACTATTGTCGCTTTAGTTACGTCTGCCGGATTGCGTGTCTCTGGTCGAAAAAACTTGTTCTCCAATGTCCGACTGATTCGGAATCAAGGGTCAAGGTCGAAGGCACAAAATACCATCTAAATCCTGGATTTAGGACCACTGAATTCAGTATGTGTGATGGTGGTAAGACTCGATGTGATGTTGTAGGAAACAATTCAGTGCAACAGGGGATAACACTACTTTAGCAGCATAATCTGAATGTTTATTCTCACCATATGGACTTTGTCTACCTGCAAAGGCAGTTGTCTCTTCTGAAGGGTACAGCCTATGCAATAGTATCCCTGCATCAATTAATGGTTCCTATTAAATAATGATCAAGAATGATTCTTTTTACTTTATCTGAAATAGGTTGGGTACGAAAATGACTATGTTTTAGGAGCTTAGATAATTAATTTATATTAATTCGTTAACTTCAAAATTTTAACGTGTTAACCCGTTAAAGGAAATTTTAAATTGCTCTCAGCCTTGGGTACGGTACCAGTAATCCAATATTAACTCTTTATGTTTAAAAATCTCCATTTTCTTCTATTTCAGCTGGATTTACATTACTAAGCCAAGTTCTAACCTTATGTATATAACCTAAGAATGGAGAACATCTATAATGGCCAGTTATCCAGCAGTGCTAGGCTTGACAACTTTCACATAAATGGCATGCCATACAGGCCTGTTTCATCGTATGAAAATCACAGTTCAGTTAATTGTCAACTCGAAAATCATAGCAATTCACAGTTTAAGAATCATAATAGCACGCAGCCATTTCACAATAATTCATCATCTTCAGTCGAAACAGCTGCGTACCAAGTTCCAAGTCCATCAGATGATTCCAATATAAATTCCGAAACAAATGCAGAACATCTGACTACGTCCTACTGTATCCAACAAATTAAACAACTAACAGAAAAACAGATAACTGATCAGAATAATTTATTTCAAGAAATTGTTTCGACTAGTACTCAAATAACTGGACATGATCTCTTCACCCATAAGATAGTGTCTCTTTGTAATAAAATTCTTGCCCAATCTTTAAACAGTAATAAATCAGTTATCAACTACTGTCAAAAATTGAATGACCTGACCCTTGAAACCAAAAAGGAATTCCCACCAGACGAGGAAATAATAGAAAACAGTGCAATAAGTAACAAGAAGCAAAAAGTTAAAAAAATTGTTAGAATTAAAAAGGAAAAGAAAGGTTTAAAGACGAAAGAAGAATTAATTAATAACACAAATAAACGTAGAAGTTCATTGAGGATTAGTGTTAAAAGGAAATCATGCAAACCTTTAAGGAAACTAAGAAAGCGAACCCCAGCACGTAAAACCATTGAACAAGAGGAGTCAAGCGAGGAAGCCTTTGAAGACCATGAATCAGATGACGACATATACTTACCAGACAAAGAACCAGAGTTTTGTGATGTTCCTGTGTCTTTTGCACAATCTGATGACCCAGATGACAATCCTGGTACTGATTCAGAGAATCAGGAAGAGAGTTTATCACAGGATAATGAGGACGAGACGACAGAAAACACAACAAATAATGTCAAAAAATCTGAAGTCGTTGATACAAGACCCCATCCCTGCACTTTATGTTCGAAGCGTTTTCGTTTCGCAGGTAGTCTGGCTCGACACCTCCAAGATCATGATCATAATATATCTCAAGAAAACAATTGTCCGGTCTGTAAAAAGAAATATGGCCGACTTTCAGACCTCAGTAACCACATAAACAACGTTCACAAAACTTACAAACAGGCCTATAATTGTGACATCTGTCAAAAATCTTTTCATTTTCAGAAATCTTTAAAAGCTCATCGTATTAGTGTTCATCATAAATTAGAACATCAGTGTCGTGATTGTCATCGACGATTTGCAACACAGGACGAACTAACCCAGCACAGTAAGCTACATCCCTCTGATGGTACCTTTGGTTGTTCTGTCTGTGGAGTAGTCTTCCCCTGTCGTAAAACATTGATCAAACACGAGAAGACTCACATGCCAGAGAAAACTTACAAGTGTGATTGGTGTGGATTAAGTTTTAAAAGTAGCAGTACGCTGGTCGGCCATGTTAGAACGCACACTGGAGAACGTCCATATATTTGTGAACTATGTGGAAATGCTTACGCGCAGATGAGTACTCTCAAAGTCCATCAGTTAACTCATTCAAACACGAAACCTCACGCTTGCGATCGCTGTGATTACGCTTTTAGGACACGAGCAGAATTAAATAATCATATTCTAGTCCATACAAAGGAGAAGAAATTCCAATGCGACGAATGTGGTAAGCGCTTTCCACGTGTTCGCTCTTTGAAAGATCATCTTTTAACCCATGCTGGAATCAAACCCTACTCCTGTTCACAGTGCGGGCGGAGATTTTCCTGTCATCAGCATCTACGGCGTCATCAGAGAATCCACAAGGGTGAGATGCCGTACACATGTGAAATTTGCGGCAAACAATCACGTCAGAAATATAACATGACTGTTCACATGCGAACCCACAATGGAGAAAAGCCATTCGTTTGTGATATTTGCGGAAAAAGCTTTACGTACAATAAAAGCCTTCAGACTCATAAAGTATCATGTGGTAAATCGATGGTGACACCAGGAATGTTCGCATTTCCACCCCAACAACCGCCTCCATCTGTAGCTCATCAGCAGCAGCAGCAGCAATATGTTAATATGGGAATGAATGTTCACATAGCTAGATGATTTGTGTAAAATATTTTTAGAAAAACAATTCGTTAGATGACTGAACCATATTAAAATGCTGTTTACATGTACCTTAGGGTTGGTTTAACATGCCCACTAATACAAACCTGGTCAAAATAGACTTCATATTCATGACCCGCAGTTAAATGCCTCCTCACTTTGGTTTACCCAGTTGTTGCCATAACTTACACTTCATTTTTGTTGCCATATGCACTACACAAACATTAAGCTACAGATAAGATTGATTGCACCACTGAAAGACTTATGCTCAGTGAAAGAGTCTGTTTGATCTTCTATATTAAATAATTGAGGTCACAATAAGGCAAAATGAGAGAATTTTAACGATTTGTATGTGACATGCACATGGGTTATAATGTGGTGAGTGCAGGATTGCCATTATTAGTTAGTGTGGCATTACTGTTACTAGGGGACAGTTAGGCTTTCCAAAGTATGTATGGTGTTACTATCAAGATCATCAAAGTCATTTTGATCATTTGATGTTAGGGATTATTTTACACCACCAGTTTACTGGCATGGTATATTTGTAGTTCAGAGGCGAATCAAACCTCTGATGGGACATAGGCAGCTCAACTAGCTAGACCATTGTAATCATAGAGAAAGAGAAATGGGGTTTAACCTCCATTTGATACAAACTAGGTCATTTCGGGATCTAACATATGGTTTAATTTTATTTCCAGAGAAAACACACAAGGTTGGGCAGGCGACCCTACTCCTTGTCACGTACAACCAGGGAATCGAAACCACTCCATTTAAATCAATGACAGACCTTATGATTACAGAACTAGGCTGTCTGTTTTGTGTTTGAAATCGGCGTTCATTCCCGTTAAAAACGATATAATTCTGTTTCATTTGCCCTATTAAGCATCTGGTAGGGCATTTCCACCGACCTATTAGAAACTACATGTATGTCGTACTGAGAGCTACTTCTAAATTAGGAGGAACCACGGATGCTCAGTGAGTAAGGTGTTGGCTTGCTAACCTGGAGATCCTGTGGTCGATCCCAGTGTTGGCCAAGAAAGATCACTTATCAGTGGTGCAGAACGGAGAGTCTGGCAAGGAACAATGTATAGTCCTTCGGATAGGATAAAAAAATCGAGGTCCGATGTACACATTAGCATACATCTAAAAGATCCCTTAGCAGTTAGAATTTGATTTAAGAGTAGTCCATAGTGTCGCTGTCCAGACAAATTTTTCCTCATAGCACAATGTATAGCGTATGCCCGTCTTTATAAGCCCAGTCATAGCAGAACAGTAGGACATTAAACCCCATTTCATTTCTAAATTAGGATATACATCAGCTAACCAGTTTAGTATGAGCATTTTATACAATCTTGTACAAATATTAAAAGCAGCCTTTATGTACTGTAATGAAAGAAATACAATTTTCGAGGAGAAAATCGCCAAAACCTTTTTGAAAATGAAAGCTAAAGTTGCTTGACTGGATGCCAGCAAGTGACCCGTCTGTCATGCTGGAGTTTATCAACCACTCTATTAGTACATGTATTACTAATACTATAGCTCATCTGGAGCAGGAGGGGTTGGATGGCTGAATGGTTAGAGCGTGTGCCTTGTATCATAAGGTCTGTCATTGAGTTTCGATACCCCAGTTGTATGTGACCAGGAGTAGGGTCGCCTGTCCAACCTTGTGGGTCTTCTCCGGGTCCTCCGGTTTCTTCCCACTGCTAAAGACCTCTATGCACTAGCAAATTATTGAAATAAAATTGAGAGAGAGAATTGGGGTTTAACGTCCACTTGACACAAACTAGGTCATTTCGGGACTAACATGGTTCAATTGTTTTCAATAATTCGGTTGTGCGTAGGTGTCTTTAGCAGTGTGAGGAAATAGAATTGAACCATATGTTAGTCCCAAAATGATCTAGTTTGTGTCGAGTGGACGTTAAACCCCATTTCCCTCTCTCTCATCTGGAGCACCATCTCATGGGCCTTCCTTCTTGGTGCACTGTTGATTACCATCGAGTTGGGTTCGTGAAGCATGATGCATTGAAGTAAATAAATAAGTAACCCAGTTATGTCTAAAGTGGAGGTCAAATCTTTTTTGGGCCGATTTTTTGAGTGGGTCGTATACAGCTGCCTCCACTGTTTATAGTACAAGGTATTACGCCTCTGTTATAGTTTATACATATCTTATATGGGCATGTTACATATAAGAAATTGTTTTTGTTAGTGATATGTAATTGTTAGAGCTTTTTAATTTATTTATATTCAATATTAATAAAACTCAATGTAGCGTAGAATTCCATAATTATGTTTGATTAATTATAGTTTTTGTTTTTCATATCAATGTGCAGCAATAAATTTAACAAACATCTGGCCGTTTGCTCGCAAGTGCTGTTTGGGGGTATGATTGGGAAACACATTTTTTCCTGCTATTTTAGCCTTGAGTACAGCAACTCAAAAGAAGTCCAATATAGCCTTATTTATATGTTTTTCAAGCTAAATCTGACTCAATGCCCCCCTGAACTCCAATGAACCAATTTATAAGACTGTTGCATCTTCTGAAAAATTGACGAGACAAATAATGATGATGCTCGAATAAAAATGTCGAGCATGCCCATTGGGGTTGGACGTAGTCTACCAATATAAATACGTACATTCTGGTTATTGAAATGACAAAAACATGGGAATGGCAGCACTTCTGTGTGCTGGGCATGCACCAAAATCAATAATTGACATCCTTGTATAGGTTATAAGTATGCAAAGATCCATTCAGATCCATTCAGAATTGCGGCCTGTAGGCGATACACACAAAAAATTTGGCGTGGCTTGTTTGTCCTTGGGGCCATGTGCACCAAAACCAGTACTATGGCAGTAGTTGGTACTAACAGACCAGGAGCCCAGAGGGTTAAACCGAGACGAACGAGGTACCAATATCTGACCATATAGGCATCTACAGAAGTGGGCGTCTGGTCCCTGTGTATGGCACTGGTGATCCCTAGAATGACCCCAAAATGGGTTAAACTCGTACATTCGAGGTACCGGCCGAAACCAATTTTTATACGCCCACATTGAAATGTGGTCATATATTGTCGTCACCGCCGTCGGTCCAATATTCGCGCATATCGGATCGTAACGTCCTGAATTATGGCCCTTGATTGTATGAAAAATCGCATTTTTAGCTTGTGGTCCCTCTAGGGGTCACAATTTTTATACGATTTAAAAAAACGCGTGAATATATCACCGTTACACCCTAATGATGGTTGAGTTTGAATTCTGTAAAAATCTGACTGAAATTGCTGGACAAAATGGCTACTCCTTGTACGCAAATAGTGTAAAAGTATGCAATACCAAAGTTGATGAAACTTGAAATGTATGTTTATAATCCAATGAGATTGTGGTTTCTTTTGATATTTGCGCATATCAGACTGTAACTCCCTGGATTATGGCTCCTGATTGTACAAAATATCACGTAGCTTGTGGACCCTCTATAGAGGTCACAATTTTTTATCCAATTTGAGAAAAGTTTAAATTTATCACCATAACACCCAAATGACGGTTGAATTTCAATTTCGTGAAAAATGGAACAAAACTGCCTGACAAAATGGCAGCTCCTTGTACGCAAATAGTGTAAAATTATGTCATAGCAAGGTTGTGGACAACTAGAAGTAACAACTGTTATCCAATTTTGATGAAACTTAAATTATATGTTTATGTCCCTAAGATCTAGGTTCCTTTAGCTATTTGCGCATATCAGACTGTAACTTCCTGGATTATGGCCCCTGATTGTATGAAAAATCCTGCATTTTTGGATTCTCTACAATTTTTTATCCGATTTTAAAAAACGTTTAAATATATCACGTCTATTCCACCACAATGAAGGGGAAAATCAGTTGAAACGAACTGCCTGACAAAATGGCTGCTCTTTGTACGCAAAATGTATAAAAGTATGTATTTACGAAGGTTGTGCACCCTCTAGAGGGCACAATTTTTATCCGATTTTGATGAAGCTTAAAATATATCTTTATATCCCTTTCGATATTTGCACATTTCAGACCATAACTTTCTGGATTATGACCCCTGGTGTAGGCCTACGAAAAATAGCTTTTGTTTTTACCTTGTTCTCTATCCATCTTTTGCAAAATGTGGGCGTATGATACAATGCGCACGCGCTCACCATTCTGCCATCCAACCTCCTTTGTTCCAAGTGCAACTATGGACCCTAATTCTATAATAGAGATTGAGTCATCCACATGGTCATGGTCTATGGTGCACAACGTAAACCAAGCAGGACGCTGACTGGCCACAGCATTAAACATTAAATTAAAATGGGCAGGTAGATAAATTTAGCATCCGTTTAAAAGAAACTATTATGTAATTTGAACAATCTAAATTATTAAACTAGAACTGCGACGCAGTAATCACAGGTTTCACCGGTGCCACGTTACCCTTGAACTTATGTCACTTTCGGTACCAATGAAACCGTTAAACAGATATCCACATAAGCATTGCACATGTGTTATAAAATAGGGGCAGAATCAACCAAATCCATCAATATTAATTATATTTATACATTTGTTACCATGTGTTACATATGTCAAAAAAGTGATCCTGACAAAATTTGTTACTAACTTACCGCTAAGTTAGCTCATTTTCTAATGGGAAATTCCTCGACAAGGGAAGATGCTAGAAGCAATTTTTGGACATCTATATGATCGTATTGATCCAATCTATATGTCCATTGGAATCAAATATCATAGTATTAAACGAATAATAAATATAACCCACTTCAAAAATATATTTGTTTTGAAAGCTAAAGATACAGTTTTTGCCAAAATGACATTACTTCCGGTGATAATGAAAATGTTAAATTAGTTCTATGAAATCATAAATGGCATATGGCATCTCATGGTGAAACTTTTATGAGAATCGAATAATAATTGACACTTTTGTACACCAACAACCTTGAAAAGTTACTTGTAGGAAATCGTCTATTTCTCTGCAACCGGGGTATCACGCGGCTAAATGGGTAAGATGCTGGCTCGCTAGTCTGGAGGTTGGGTGTTCGATCCCTGCAACGGACTAGAAAGTTCATCCAGATTTTCCGGCGTGGTTCCCCCTTGTCAGTGATGCAGGACGGAGGGCCTGACAAGGACAGCTGTCTAGTCCTTCGGATGACACGAACACCGAGGTCCCGTGTATACATTGGAATGCACGTAAAAGATCCTTTGGCAGTTGGAATTCGATATAAGAGTAGGCGATAGTGCCGATGCCCGGGCAAAATTTCTTCATTAGCCTAGCATAGGAGCAGAACAGTAGGACGTTAAACCCCATTTCATTTAATTTCATTTCTCTGCAACCGTACAAGTTAGAAACCATTTTGTGGTATCTGTATGATTGTATGGGTTCATTCTATTTGTAGATGGGAATCAAGTATCATAATTTAAAAAACATTACAAATCAGACTCATTTGAATAAAATATCTGTTTTGAAGGCTAAACAACCTGAAAAGTGACTAATGCAAAATCGCTTATTTCTCGGCAACTGCTAATATTACAAATTTATTTTGACATACATTGCCTTCGTATGGATTAATGCTACAGGTTTCTGAAAGTTGTCAAGAAATATTTTAAAATATGAAAAGCTGAATGCATTGTAAATAGCTTACTTTTACACCTTTTTTTTATCCTTAAATCAAAATGGCACAAATACAGAAACGAAATAAAAAAACTAAGTCCGACATATCTTGCATCTTTAGTAGGAGCATACATCTTCATCTTTTGGATTTGTAAAAATTAATATTTCTTTTAAGAACTTTTGACACGTAAAAATAGAAGTTTTGAGCAAAATTACGTCACTTCTGGTGCCGACAAAAAAGTTTATCTGTAGAAAAAAGTTGAGAAATTGCACCACGGAGCATATGAGCTTTTGTTTTATACGAATCAGGCAATATTTAATTAACCCAGAACTCATAAATTGAAATTAAAATGCGAAATATCTTAAAAAGTGAACCTGACAAAATTGGTTTTTTCTCGGCAAGGAAAGATGTTAAAAACATTTTTTTGATATAAATATGATCGCATTGATTCATACTATTTGTCCATTGGAATCAAATATCAAAATTTTATACGAATAATGAATATCGTTCACTTCAAAAAAAAAATTTGTTTTGGACGCTAAAAATACAGTTTTAGCCAAAATGACATTACTTCCAGTGATAATGAAAATCGTACATGACATTAGGCATCACATGGTGAAATTTCATGAAAATCAAATAAAAATTGACACTTTTATGGACCAAAAATCTTGAAAAGTGCCTTGTAGAAAATCGTCTATTTCACCGCAACTGAACAAGTTAGAAACCATTTTGTGACATCTTTATGGCCTTATGAATTTCATCAATATAAATAATATGTTGATTTAAACCAAGAGTTAAAATGTTTAATACATATTAAATAATTCTTAGTTGAAAAAAATATTGATTTTAAAGGTTAAAAATACAGTTTTTGACAAAATGACATAGAAGACATATTTGCCTTATACATCAAATGGTATCACTTTTATGAAAATCTAATAATAATTGACTCATTTTCAGGCAAAATAACATAAAAAGTGACTCATGCAAAATTGACTTTTTCTCGGCAACTGCTCATATTACAAACTAATTTTCACTTACATTTCCTTCGTATGGATTAATGCTACAAGATTATGAAAGTTAGGAAGAAATATTTTTAAATATGAAAATCCTGAATGGGTTGTAAATAGCTCATTTTTACACCTTTTTTCACCTTAGCGCAGGGGATCATGATGGCTAAGTGGGTAAGACGCTCGCTCGCTATCCTGGAGGTCGGGTGTTCGATCCCTGCATTAGCCGAGACAGTTCATCCAGATTTTCCGGCGTGGTTTCCCCTTGTCAGTGATGCAGGACAGCGGGCCTGACAAGGACAGCTGTCTAGTCGTTCGGATGGTACGAAAAACCGAGGTCCAGTGTACACATCGGCGTGCATGTAAAAGATCCCTTGGCAGTTGGAATTCGATATAAGAGGAGGCCGTAGCGTCGCTGTCCGGGCAAAATTTCCCTCATAGCACACTGTATGGCGTATACCCTTCTTCATTAGCCCAGTTTAGGAGCAGAACAATAGGACATTAAACCCCATTTCATTTCATTTTCATTTCAAAATAGCGCAAATGCGATTTTAACCGAAACTAAAAAAAACTGAGTCCGTAGTAGGTGTATTCATCTTGATCTATTTGCTTGCAAAAAGACGTTCCTAACTGCCAAAATAGTAGTTTTTGGCAATATTATGTCATTTCCGGTGCCGACAGAAAACTTTGTCGGTAATAAAAAAGTTAAGAAATTGCACCATTGAGTCTGGTGCCGACGGAAAACTTTGTCGGTAATAAAAAAGTTAAGAAATTGCACCATTGAGCATATATATATATGGACTGTGTTTTATACAAATTGAGCAATAAATAATTAATATAGAACCCATAAACTGAATTAGCCAATATAAGCGGCCAAGGAAAATTATCGAGATAAAAATTGTTCACATTTTTGCTCAAATCACACGACCCTTTAATCCTGGATAAAATTTCATAAAAAAGTATTTATAAATAAAAAAAATTTTTTTGTCAAAATTTGGCGCCTAGATATCTTCGAAGATTAATCCCTAATTAATTAATTATCTCCTTCCTGGTTCATTTTCTATAATGAATATCTAGCAAGTAAATAACAACTGCAATAATAATAGATTGCCAATAATAAGCCACTCTCTCACATCGTGTTTAGTAATCTCAGTCGACTAACATTAGCCAATCAAAATGCGAGAATGTGGGGTCAAGACAGGTTAAAAAATATCGCCATGTCTGTCTGAATGCGGTGTCTGTCACGTTCGTTTGTGATTAAAATAATGATTGATAACACTGAAGATCGAACGCAACAACATCGTTGGGTAAGTATTATGTTCTTTTATCATGAACTGAATTATAATATAGACAAAGCTTGCCCAATTTAGGACACAAATTGTCTCCGTTAAAATAGTTGAGTTCCTGCGTCTGATTCTGACTGATATTGATACCCAGCGGGCACGCAACGTTGTTACAACATTGTGACAACGTCAATATTGGTCGTGACGTTGTACAACGTGTTTTCGACCAATATTCAACGTTGTATTTACGTCATATACAGGTTGTTGACACAACGTTGTCACAACGTCATCAAAACGTTATCAAAACGTCATATACAGGTTGTTGTCACATCGTTGTCACAACGTTGCCACAACGTCATTAAAACGTTATTCTAACGTCATATACAGGTTGTTGTCACAACGTTATCAAAACGTCATATACAGGTTGATGTCACGGCGTTATTACAACGTTGTTACAACGTTGTCACAACGTTGTAACAACGTCTTCAAAACGTTATCAAAACGTCATATACAGGTTGTTGTCACAACGTTGTCACAACGTCATCAAAACGTTATTCAAACGTCATATACAGGTTGTTGTCACAACGTTGTCACAACGTTATCAAAACGTCATATACAGGTTGTTGTCACGGCGTTTTTACAACGTTGTCACAACGTCTTCAAAATGTTATCAAAACATCATTATTATACAGGTTGTTCTCACAACGTTATCAAAACGTCATATACAGGTTGTTGTCACGGCGTTGTTACAACGTTGTCACAACGTCTTCAAAACGTTATCAAAACGTCATAGGTTGTTGTCACAACGTTGTCACAACGTTATCAAAACGTCATATACAGATTGTTGTGACAACGTTGTTAAAACGTTGTCACAACGTTGTCATAACGTTATCGAAACGTCATATATAGAAGTTCGAACCTTGACCTCTGATTGTCAAACCAAGTTCACCACGAGACTTCCAGGGGTCAATTTAGTTTAAAAAGCCACGACCTCAAGGTCGTCGGATCCGATTTGGGATGGGCGAGTTATCTGCCCTTAGACCACACCGCTGTAATACTCAGCTATTTCACTTTCTAGGGAAATTTGCCCAAAAAATGTCTTCCAATCGCCCCGGGATTTGGTGACTCGATAGACTGACCCAACATTTGTTCTTCATTTTTTAAAATCGCCAACCAAAAGTCGTGACCTTGACCCGCTAGGGGCCCCAGAAGTATTTTGGTTTTTGAACCCTAGAGGCCCATCTAATAAAGTCAGGACCACTGGACCTTGACCTTCCAAAATGTCATCTTGGTCCACATGACCACGGTAGGTCAAGGTCATCTGAAAGGGTCAAGGTCACCAAAATATCTACTGAGTCGGGTGCTCCCGGGCACATGGTGAGGCCCCGGGTCTGCGCGGTAAATCAAAGGTCATGACCATGGATAGGCAACTCATTGACCTTTCGAATGGGGCCTTGACCTTTGACCTGACCCTTGACCTTGGGATCGAAAAAGTCCCAAAACTTCATGTACCACCCAGACTTTCGCTAATAAATGTCAAGGTCAAAGTCGTGACTCGCACCCGCAAGGTCATTTTTGGGGTTGTAACCTGAGTCAAGGTCATGACATTGCCTGACATTCCCTGTTCCCGGCAGCAATTTAGGTAAAAAGTCACATTCAAAATCCCGAGAGAAAGTGAAAGCGGAACTTTCAGAATGTTATTTGGAAGAAAATATTTTGCTTTCTTGTCAGTAAAATAAAGGGCCCCAAATTCGATGACTTTTAAGTATAATATAACATTTTCACTTTCTTGTCATTGAACACGGCGAATTTGTACTGCATTGATTGCGGATTAAAACATTTCGTCGGGTCCCACTCGGCGGTGTGCGACATCGATCATTTATTTGCTTTATAATTTTTCGGAAATCATAATTTCCTTTAATGCATTAAAGTTATTGGTGTAATAAATAGGCAATACTGGCCTGCTTTCATGTTGCTGAGCACACGGGTTGGGAAAGCAAGAAAAGGCGTTTGCGTCCGTCAAGTATTATACAAAATGTATTATGAACTGTAAACGAGATGCCTCTCCCGCACCTAAATGTCGCTGTTTTTACATTCGGTGTTTTGCAATTGAAATAATAACACAAAGCACAGAAAATGGTGATTAATGCATATTGTGTAGTGTGCAGCGTTTGCTACACAAATTCAGTGCATAATACGGGCCTAAAACAGGAATTGCAATGCGCTTATCTATAGAAATTGACGTATGATCTTGGGTACAGTTGTATTGGTTAACGACGTAGATCGAGATTGAATAACACAATACAAGCTATAATACATTTTAATTAAGGCTTATTGTAAAACAACTAGAAGCTGACAAATATTCCGGTTAATTCTTCAGTAAATTATCTGGTAACACTAGCGGTTTTTTTTCCCGCGGATACTGATAACGTGACTCTAATGTTGCCGCGAAAGATGCTTCTGGGACGCCATATTGGTTTTTTGGTTCGTGCCGAAGGTAAGTTCTATTATTTTAACTCTCAACTGGGTATGTGGAAGGGATATAAAAATCGTCAATTGCTTCTTCTAAGGCTAATATAAGATCAGATAAAATTATATTGTATCTTAACACCCCATTAGGCTATTAGAGACAGCATACAAACAAAACATTAGGCTACCTACGCTACAGCATTATCAATGGCTATAAAACAACAAAAACACCAACTATATTTACATGTATGTAAAACACGCGCATCTATACATACATCATGTAGTAACAGGGACTATTATTATTAAGTTGAATATGAAAGCCCCTCGAATTTGATTACCGGTAAGGTAGGCATGGACTTCGTTGACGACCGCGGTGTAAGTGGCGACGTTCATTTCAAAACACAGACTCAGACTGCAGCTGTGCCGAGTGAATTTCATATTTTTAAGTTATATTTTTAAGTTACAGAATAATCCTATTATTCCTATAATTCACTATTGCCAGTTGAGAAATTGGCCAAAATATCATTTTCAACTTCAAATTCAAACGTTTGAAGATAGTTTTTCCATGGCGGGGGGAGGGGGAGAAAAACAAAGGTGGTAATTGTGTTATTATTTCCGGTGTGAATGATTTTATAAGCGTCATAATGATACCTATGATCCTATAATAGTGAGTTGACAACCTATTGAGCAAAAGATATAGAAATAATTATGTTTTGACTTTCTTAGAAAATATGAAATTCTCGCTTTAACTATTAAAACTAGCTGGACCAGCTGCATGATTGTGTCAGTCCGCTCAGAATACATGAGTCTAGGCCAAGCGACGTATAATTTAGAACTGACTGACGTGATCTGCACTAGTCTAGGCTAGACATTTGCGTTGATGTGTTGCGCAAGTAGATCTAATCTAAATGAAATCTCTCATCATTAGTTTTTTCATATTACTCATATACATTGCCGTTAAACGAATAATTTTCAACACATAGCAAGCCATTTGATCTATACTACACGTCACTGGGCTATTTGATTTTACGGAGATTTGTTACCCACGGCAAAATCTCGATCGACACTTGGTAGTTGGTAGACTTAACGCGATTTTTATCATTCGGCTTCACTAAACAAATTATTAATAAAAACAGCCGTAGATCGACATCTAATAGTGCTAATGTAAATTTAATAATACTATTCCGGTATAAAAAAAAGTAATGATAATAAAAGAATAATGAAGTTAAGTATTTAAATGATCATTTTAAGTAGATACCGTTATATTACTGAGCGCCATGGAAAACGCATCACATATTTTCCCAAATATTTTATTACTAGGTGGTTTTGTATGTATAATATTATGCAATACTATATGAACTATTGTTTCACACAATGCTCCCAAACGCAAAAAATTTCGGCCGGTGTGCACAAAAAAAATTGCATAAGATGCACATGAAAAACCCAATATTCACGTGCAGCATTGTGTGTGAGCCCTTTAAAAGCATGTTTTCAAATTAATGTGTTGTACATGAACTGTGAAACATCAATCTGTCGTAATTTGTTGTTGGACGTGTGAAGGAATCGAGCTAGAGATGCCGAGACTTACTGAAAATCAACGGAATGAAGCCATGGGAATGTCCAGGGCTGGCATGTCTACACGTGCTATTATTGCCAGACACTTCAATTGTCATCAGTCCACTATTGTAAGGTTGGTGGAACGTGTTCGAATTACTGGATCAACACGTGACCGTCAACGTCCTGGTCACTCATCTGCGTGACAGATTCCGCCCAGCGACTCGAACAGGTGCAGCAGTCGTCGGAAGACAAGGACCAGTAAGTGCCAACACCGTAAGACGTCGTCTAAGAGAAGTAGGACTCCGTGCACGACGACCTTATGTTGGAGCTATCCTCACCGTGAGCGGCGTTTGATATGGGCTCAAGGACACACCAGACATGGAGAAGAGTAGACTGGCAAAGTGTGCTCTTCAGTGATAAGAGTCGCTTTCATCCTTATCACGCTGATGGCCGTCAACATGTGTGTAGACGCCTTGAGGAACGTTTTGCAGACTGCTGCATCTTCGAAACGAATCGATGGGGTGGGGGGAAGTGTAATAGTGTGGGAAGGCTTCACATTTCATCACCGGACCGCCCTACACATTTGCAGGGGTCGCGTTAATGCTGTAGCCTACCGTGATGATGTCTTGCAACCAATTGTTGTTCCGATGTTTCGAGCGCACCCACAACTTCAGCGCTTCCAACAGGATGATGCACGTCCGCATACCGCCGGTTTTAGTATGGACTTCCTGGCTGCTAACAACATCAATGTCTTGGACTGGCCAGCCATGTCTACGGACATGGCACCGATAGAACATGTCTGGGATGCGATTGGACGCCGTCTGTATCGGAGACCACAGAGGCACACCATTGCTGCTTTAGAAGCTGCTCTTGTCCAAGAATGGAACAATTTGCCCCAGGCCTTCTTTCAAACATTGGTTAATTCCATGCGACGTCGCTGCACAGCGTGCGTAAGAGCCCGCGGAGGACACACATCTGACTTTGTAACGTTGATTACA